CAGTTTGCACTTTCGAATTTTCAATGAATCTGTTAATAAACCCATTTTAAAGCCAGGTGGAGTTTCATCACAGCCCAGCATCAAAACATCGACCAAGTGCTTATCTTCGTGTGTTCGAATCACGTTGTATTTCGCCCTTTTGATTTAAATGCGAATAAATCATGGGGTTGTTGTAAACACTCTCTGGGCTCACGCTGACCCAACAGACGACTCCCAGTTAGTAGCGTACGATAATTTCTTGAGCTGGGTTCTTAGTACTCCATGTACTAAGTGAACTCCCTTCACCCTGTCTCCTGACAGGGTGAAGGGAAGCACTCTGTACTTATGTACTTATTTGTAGCTGCGGTACAAATGTACCAAAACGGTATAATTTGAAGCTACTATTTTATAAAGCACAGTTTAAACACTCCTGGTACTGGGGGGGGGGGGCGCGAGGTTCCCTCTTTATTGGTCCTGGGGGCGCCTCTCCCTTTATTGGTCCTGGGGGCGCCTCTCCCTTTATTGGTCCTGGGGGCGCCTCTCCCTTTATTGGTCCTGGGGGGCGCCTCTCCCTTTATTGGTCCTGGGGGCGGCTCTCCCTTTATTGGTCCTGGGGGCGTCTCTCCCTTTATTGGTCCTGGGGGGCGCCTCTCCCTTTATTGGTCCTGGGGGCGCCTCTCCCTTTATTGGTCCTGGGGGCGCCTCTCCCTTTATTGGTCCTGGGGGGCGCCTCTCCCTTTATTGGTCCTGGGGGCGCCTCTCCCTTTATTGGTCCTGGGGGCGCCTCTCCCTTTATTGGTCCTGGGGGCGCCTCTCCCTTTATTGGTCCTGGGGACGCCTCTCTCTTTATTGGTCCTGGGGGGCGCCTCTCTCTTTATTGGTCCTGGGGGCGCCTCTCCCTTTATTGGTCCTGGGGGCGCCTCTCCCTTTATTGGTCCTGGGGGCGCCTCTCCCTTTATTGGTCCTGAAGGCACCAAGGTCCCCCCCCCCCACTATAAAGGTCCTAGGGACGTTGAGGACCCCCCGCCCCCCCACTTCAATGGTCCTGGGAACGCCAAGTCTACTTTCATTTTGCCTTGTCGATTCCACCGAGTATTTTTTAAGTTGTGATCATGTACCTTCAGCTGTTGCCCTACTTCAGTGATGTGAACTTCAGTTTCATTATAGTTTTCCCTTGCATGTTACCCCCTTAAACATTGTTTTAAATTTGTGCAAAACATATGTTGAAATAATATAAACTGGCCTGACTTGAATGTAAGCAAAATATACTGAAAATAAAACATCATACCAGTTCTCAGGGAGTTCCCAGACGTCAACTGTACCACCACATGGTTATCTTGAGATAATTTCGGGGTTTAGTGTCCCCGCGGCCCGGTCCTCGACCAGGCCTCCACCCCCAGGAAGCAGCCCGTGACAGCTGACTAACTCCCAGGTACCTATTTACTGCTAGGTAACAGGGGCATTCAGGGTGAAAGAAACTTTGCCCATTTGTTTCTGCCTCGTGCGGGAATCGAACCCGCGCCACAGAATTACGAGTCCTGCGCGCTATCCACCAGGCTACGAGGCCCCTTCAATGGTCAAAAGAATTGCAACCTGGAGGAGCAACCTGTCCTCTTAAAAAGAACGTCGCTTTTGGCCGTTTGCCCGTATGGCCGAATATGGACGTTATTTGAAAATGAAAAAAAAATGAATATAAATTTGGGATTTTTTTTTCAACAACAATAAGTTAAGGGTCCTCTGATAGGTTAGGTGGGCAGGAAATTCTCATAAAGTTTCAAAACGGTATGAAAAACGTTAATGGAAAGAATCCTTTTCTAAGCTGGCCGAGGATCCCGAAGCTTCTCCGAAGCCTAATCAGGGTTTCACACACTTCCCCCCCCCCCATGCACCGGGGCTCTTGTCAACTTTATGTTCTACCTGAACTTCAATATACTTGTTATTGTTCATTTGATATAACACGCTATTGTCATCTCTGTGTGTTTTGCCCATTTGTTTCTGCTTCGGAAGGGAATTGAACCCGAGCCCGTAGGACTACGATCCCAGAGCGCTGTCCACTCGGCTGTGTGTACTTACCTAGTTGTACTTACCTAGGGAGCCGGTCGGCCGAGCGGACAGCACGCTGGACTTGTGATCCTGTGGTCCTGGGTTCGATCCCAGGCGCCGGCGAGAAACAATGGGCAGAGTTTCTTTCACCCTAAGTCCCTGTTTCCTAGCAGTAAAATAGGTACCTGGGTGTTAGTCAGCTGTCACGGGCTGCTTCCTGGGGGTGGAGGCCTGGTCGAGGACCGGGCCGCGGGGACACTAAAAAAAGCCCCGAAATCATCTCAAGATAACCTAGTTGTGCTTGCGGGGGGTTGAGCTCTGGCTCTTTGGTTCCGCCTCTCAACCGTCAATCAACTAATGTACAGGTTTCTGAGCCTATTGGACTCCATCATATCTACACTTGATACTGTGTATGGAGTCAGCCTCCACCACATCACTTCCTAATGCATTCCACTTGTCATCTACTCCGACACAAAAAAAATATAATGTCTCTATGGCTCATTTGGGCACTCAATTTCCACCTGTGTCCCCTAGTGCGTGTGCCCCTTGTGTTAAATAGTCTGTCTTTATCTACCCTATCAATTCCATTGAGAATCTTGAATGTGGTGATCATGTCCTCCCTAACTCTTCGGTCTCCCAGCGATGTGAGGTCTAATTCCCGTAGTCTCTCCTCGTAGCTCACACCCCTCAGTTCGGGTACTAGTCTGGTGGCAAACCTTTGAACCTTTTCCAGTTTAGTCTTATGCTTGACTAGATATGGACTCCATGCTGGAGCCGCATACTCCAGGATTGGTCAGACATTGTCAATTTTACTGTAATTATTCTATTTAAAATTATCTGTACCTGTAAAGTAAATTGCCGTAAAGTACCTGTAAATATTTTTTATCAATTTTACTGTTAAATTATCTAAAAATTATCTGTTATTTTAAGAACTTGCCCGAAACGCTATGCATGCTAGTGGCTTTACAAGAATGTAAATTCAACTTAATTTCTATATTCTCTGTTAAACCCCCAATGTACCTTCTTGTATATAAATAAATAAATAAATAAATAAATAAATAAATAAATAAACATATGTGGTATACAAAGCTCTGAATGATTCCTTACACAAGTTTCTAAAGGCCGTTCTTATGTTGGCCAACCTGGCATATGCCGCTGATGTTATCCTCTTGATATGGGTTTCATATCATATCAACTTTCAATCAACTGATGTACAGATTCCTGAGCCTGCTGGGCTCTATCATATCTACATTTGAGACTATGTATGGAGTCAGCCTCCACCACAACACTTCCTTCCATCTGTTAACTACTCTGACACTGAAAAAGTTCTTTCTAACGTCTCTGTGGCTCATTTGGGTACTCAGTTTCCACCTGTGTCCCCTTGTCCGCGTATTCCCCGTATTAAACAGTTTATCCTTTTCAACCCTGTCAATTCCTCTGAGAATTTTGTAGGTCGTGATCATGTCTCCCTTTACTCTTCTGTCTTCAAGTGTCGTGAGGTACATTTTACGCAGCTTTTCCTCGTAATTCATGCCTCTTAGTTCTGGGACTAACCTAGTGGTATACCTCTGAACCTCTCCAGCGTCTGCACTAGTCTCTGGTGTGGTACTATGCCAAAGACTTTCTGGCAATCCAAAAATATGCAGTCTGCCCACCCCTCTCTTTCTTGCCTGATTTTTGTTGCCTGGTCGTAGAATTCAATTGTGTGTGTGTAATATGGTAACGATGTTGCAACCTGTGTAATCTTATTATATTTGGTAATGCATTATTATGTGAATATCTTAGTGCTTCAGTAAAAAAAAGTTCCAACAAGATGATTCAGTTAAAGACAAGATTAAAGTGTGTGTTATAAATAATTGTGTGGTGGGCTTGCTATGGGAGACTGGTACTATTAAGGGGTAAGGGTAGTTAGAAGACAGAGTATCAAATATGGGAGAGCTAAAAGGCCCGGCCCCCAAAATAAACTATCCACAGTAATAATACCTTGCTACTAGACCATATATGTCAGTCTAAGGGTTGATCAATGCACTCCCACACAGGAAGAAGGGATACTCCTATAATTCATGTACTTATTTATTAACCCCTTAACAACCCCCCATGTACACTCACACCAATAACAATAATAATAATAACTTTACCACACTACCTTACGTTAAAAGCCTTGGTCCACATAGACAGGATACAAGGTTTACACTAAGAACAAGCTAGGGTAAAGTACTGAAGGATAAGGGATAAGCACTGAAGCTGGATGCAGCTTAGGGTAGAGACACCACCTGGTACCCTAATACAAAATACAACACTTAGGGGTACCCAAAACACTGGCAAATACTACCCCCAGGTCTCACCAATCGTTACTACCAGAGTAGGCACACTTAAAACACCATACAGTACTTAATGGTACAGGAACTTAAGGTAAGGGAAATAAGTAAGAGAGAAGGGAGGAGAGTAGGGGTGCAGCCACAGAGTAGGTCTCGTCCCCACGAACGCCAGCCAGAGAACGCTCCTAGCGACCAGCTAGGCCTCCCGCATGTCGTGGTGCCGGAAGGAGCCTAATTGATCGTGCAGCTAAGCACATTAAAGATCTTCCCCTATGCAACGTATTGTTACTTTACAAATGATTAGAAAGTATTAGTAAGCGAAGTTGGTGCCTATGTTATTATTTAATAATCAACCCCCAGCTCAGTCTTTAAATGCTCTTTGAGAAACAATAATAGTCTTACGTCTGGCAGGGAAGATACAGACAATGACGCATAGGGTTGCGTTCAGCTATACTATAGTTAAGTTTAATAACTCAATTTTGACCTCTGGTTTCCACTAAAGAACCCAGGGTCGTAACAGTGTGCAAACCCATGTTGCTTATTCTAAGAAGAATGCGGAGAACGCACTAAGGCGCTTCCTTATTCTAAACCATTATAGATTTAGTTATATTTTCTTACTCTGTATGCAACATATTTTTCTAAATCTCGAAATCTGTGCAGGTGATTCCCGATGGTGATTTCCACGAGGTGATGAGAGAGCTGCGGGCGTACCGGTACTGCTCGGCCACTGGGCCCCTGTGGTGCGCTAGACTCGTGCCTGACACCACCTCACACCTCACACAGCCTCATCCTAGCCACCTCCAGCCCGCCTACCCTCATAATCACCACCTGTTTCTCGGTCTGCACCACGGCATTGTTGACGGCATGACGGCCATGGCTGTGTGCGGGTTCATCGTTACACTACTCAACGATGTCATCGCTGGGAAAGCCATCAATGATGAGCAGCTTGGGGAATATGTCATACACGGAGAGACGATACAATTAATTGAGGCTAAGAAAGTAGCGATTGAGACTGATCCTAAACTTCAGCAAGAATTTGTCGACAAAGCCAGACTTCGGAATGATAAGCCGGCCTTGCTTAAAAGTGCAATAAAAGTTCCTAAGCAGATCAAAGAGGAAAGTCTGTTTCTCATACGTGACTTGGATTCGTCGACCACTAACAAGTTCCTCAACAAGTGCCGGGCTGAAGGCGTATCTCTCAACTCAGGTTTCATGGCTCTCGCTCACGTGGCGCTGGTCGACCTCCTGGTTGACAATGGTATTGTACAAGACACTTATGATCTCCTTACTTCCCACGCCATAAACGCAAGACGGTATTGGAAAAACACCACCTCAATGGTCCTTGGCTGTCACGTCCTGGATAACATCGAGTTTTACACAGATACTCCCATAAACATCTCAGAGAACTTCTGGAACTTTGCCCGGAAGATCCACGCAGAAATGCAGCATCACTTGAAGACTGGTACGGTTCTCTGGGAGGAAGCCTTCAGGAAGCTGGAAAACAAAAGCAATCACGACCCAAGGGAGTTTCTGGACGCGCCTTTACCAGCAGACTTCTACACCTCCAATCTGGGCGACGTGACTTCGCTGGTGACGGAGGGGCGAGAGCATGTAAGAGTGACCCGGGTCTTCAGGTCCATCTCTATCAACAAAAGGAATGGAACCTGGAGCCACATGTTCCACTCCTTCAGGGGCCATCTTATCCACGTCCTCGACTACAACACAAGGACAGTCACCACTCAAATGGCTGAATATTACTGCAAACAGCTGTTCCAGCACCTGTTAGAAGTGCTTTAGCTGGTGTGAGAATGTTTAACACTAGTCCGGTTACCACTGAAAAGTCTAAATATTACTGTAAACAACTGTACCAGTGTTATTTAGATGTTTAACGTGCTATTGTTTAAGCATTATTTACATTTCCAGTACATATGATCAGTCATACAATAATCTAAAAAGTTAAATCATTATTTTGTATAGTTATTAAAAACGTATACATAAATATAAAAATTGTTTTAGTTCCCACATTATCGTTCATTATCATTAATAAGGGTTAAAGGTTATAGTGGTGTAGTAAGGTAAGGTAAACATGAGGGTCAAGCACTACCAATACGACCATACAGCATTAGGAAGGAATGAGGTTATCTTGAGATGGTTTCGGGGCTTTAGTGTCCCCGCGGCCCGGTCCTCGACCAGGCCTCCACCCCCAGGAAGCAGCCCGTGACAGCTGACTAACACCCAGGTTCCTATTTTACTGCTAGGTAACAGGGGCATAGGGTGAAAGAAACTGCCCATTGTTTCTCGCCGGCGCCTGGGATCGAACCCAGGACCACAAGTCCAGCGTGCTGTCCGCTCGGCTCCCTTCTGACCGAATGTGAGGACAAGGGTTAGGATACAAGGTCCAGGAATAGTGATCAAGCCACTTGGACCATCGGGGATTGAACACTCACTTGCCTAAAATGAGGCTGTGCCAACCAGTGGGAACTCGCTCACAACAGCTGCTGCGCTCCAGTCCCCGGACGATGCCATCAACCTCACACCAGATTAATAAACATCTTTCAAATGTGTCATAACAATGTCTTTATATGTTACTGTCAATATATTTATAATTAAATTTTTGACACTTTCGTTAAAACGAAATAAAAATAGAGGTTTCATGCTGTACAATAGTGTAGGATTTATCGGCGTTATATGGCAAGGAGAAACTGCAATTGGAGCAGCCTAGTCCCTCTTGCATTAGTGTTTACGTAAGGTGATTAAATAAATAAATAAATGTTTATTTAGGTAAGGTACATACATACAAGAGATTTTACAAAGAATGATGGATTTATAGATAGGGCTAGTACATACAATGCCTAAAGCCACTATTACGCAAAGCGTTGGAAAGTGATTGATTTACCAGTCCTGGGTTCAGCTCAAATTGGTTCAGTACACAAGCTTTCGGTTGTAAAAATAGCGAAGAGGTAGAGACAACATAAATGTATTATCCAAAATCATAAACTATAGACAATTTTGTGGGAAATTTCAACTCCCTCATATAGAGGACACGATGAACTATGAGCTCTAAAAATTCAGGGGTATTTTGAGGCTTAATTGATTAAGCCTGTGTCCAGGCTTACAGCTTACTCATATACGTAATATTGTGGTGCTTAAAGCAACATCACAATCTATACAGAATGAACTTTTTGAATTTATATTAGAAATCTACAAAAAAAAAAACAAGGAAGAAGTAAAGAAAGCATTCAAAAGCAAAATTGAATTCAAAAGCAAGAAAGAAAGCAAAATTTCATCTTCATAGTTTCCTACCTAATGCTTGAAACTCGCACTGTATCTAGTGTTAGCTAGTGTTAGTAGTTCGCGGGTAAATAACATTTCATTCATTTAAATTTGGCGGGTGTAGTTTTCTTCAGCGTTGCACCATAAACATTAGAAAATTGAGCTAAGATATGCGCAATGAATGAAAAATGTGTCAGTTTTCATTAGTATGCTTCCCCCAAAAAATAAAATTGCCCCTTTACGGGCAGATAATGCAGAAATATATGAGAAGAGTACTAGTACAGGTACGAGGTTGTGAGGGAGAAGGAGTATATGAGGTATGAGGTGTCAAGCGGGCGCCGCCAGCTGATGTCCTCACCGTCAGCTGATACAACCACCTCTCACAGGCCCTCATCTTCCTAACAAAATGACACTTTCCTGCATTTAGAAGGTATTTGTACATGTGACTAGTGCTAGGAGAAGAGGTGAGGCCTCACATATATCTTACTCTCACACGTCTCATGGCCTGTACACTTTTGTGGGGGAAATGTATTCTCATTGGGTAATATCTGCTTTCTTGTATATTTTCTTCAATATATAACTTTTAAACTCTACTGCCAGAAAGTTAATTAAGCCGAGGAAATGTGAGTCTGGTTAGTTTGGTCGTCATATTTGAGGACATAATACTTGTGTTATGTAGGGTTTGGAAAGTGAAATCATATTGGAAAATGAGCAGAGCTTTTTCAGGGATTAATTAGATTATTGTCTGAATAATAAATCCCCCCCCCCCCAGCTTAGGGTAGATCTCTCAGGAGCCACTGCAGTGGCTGTTTGGTGGATGATTTTTTTTTCTTGCAATGGATTTGTTATCATTTTATTAATTCTGCTAGAATTTACCTACTTAAAATTATCTGTTAGACTTATAAGGCACTGCTCTGTTTGGATATAATGTAAATGATGTAACAGACATTGATGATTACAGTATTTTATCCTGTATTAAAGTTCTATAATGCAGCACCCCATGGTTTGTTAGACTTGATTAACAGTCTTAGGGACGATTCCCAAATTTGTTCCGAGATATTCCACATGTTTCAATTTGGTCCCTTTTTCAAAGTGATACGGAACACTCATGTGCATCATTAGGGTGATTTGTTTTTATTATATGTTAGTTTAGGGGAGTATTGTTAGACTAAAGCACTTTACAACACTTTGTATTTGGCATGGTAACCTTACCATAGTCTTGTAATGTACTTTGATCCAGAGCAGCAAGAGAGAGGTTAAAATCTTCCCATGCCCAGATTATCATAGAAATGTTCCCACAGAGAATATGATGATTGTGAAATTCACTGATGACCCATATATATTAGGCTAGGTTCATTGTATTTTGTGCTGATTGGTATAAGTATGACCATTTTGTAGGTTCGCTGGTGTGCTTTTTGGATACAGGTACTGTATACAGAACATTGCATTAGAGTACTGTATATTGATATTGGATAACATAGCATTCTACCCTAGCATGATATTTATTTATTTATTTATTTATTTATTTATGCATATACAAGAAGGTACATTGGGAATGTGAGGATACATAAAATGGTAATTACAGTCTTGTAAAGCCACTAGTACGCGCAGCATTTCGGGCAGATATAACATATGTATTTGATTAAAAAATAGTGGAGAATCACTTGGGGTTAGATTGTTGGTTCCTGGCCACTTAAGCTCCATATTGAGCTATCCCATTGTTAAAGTTTTAGATTAAATGGTAAAAAATAAATAAAGCATTCAAACAGGTCAGGAATCTAATGTGCTGTATGTAAACTTGAGACATGATTGTATAGTTGTTTGAGACAACAGTAAAAGTAGCCCCATTCAAAGACAGAAACCTAATTGAATCAAGTTTAATGAAATGTAATTACTGTATAATATTAAAAACATTACTATTATTTCAATTTTGAATGATTTTAAGAGATAAACACAACCTGTTCTTAGTGCTTTGTACTGTATTTAAACTGTTGTCTGCAGGGGAGGAAATGCTTCCAAGTTGTGCTTGCCCTTCTGCAGCGCCCTTGTCCTAGTACTCCTCATAGGTTACATTAGTGTATCATCCAAGTCCCAAGTTTATTTTTATTATTACCATATATATCTTATATCACTCGATTATTAATTTACTACTTCAGAGGTGTGAGTGAAGGTCTCTTAAATTATGGATATGCAGTAATTTTGATATCATTAATTTCCATGGCTCCCTGGCTACTTCACACAATACTGTATAATAAAGCTCAATTGTATTATTTAATTATTTTTAGGCAAATACTTCATAGTACTGTAATTTTTATCAGAAATGTCAATTTTGTTCCAGAAATTTAATATTGAGATGTCGAAGCACTCGGGCACGGCGTCAGCACGCCTTAGGGCTGACTACATGCGTATCAAACGTGACCCTGTGCCTTATGTTATGGCTGAACCCCTACCTTCCAATATTCTTGAATGGTAAGTATATGTCTGCATAGGACTAGAATGTTATCTAGACTATGGTAAAATAATTTACCTTACTTTAGGTAATTCAAGCTAGCCATGTGCAACATAGTTAAAAAGTTGTGACAAATTATGCATGATTTGCTGAGCAAATTCCTGTAATTTAATTTATTTACACTAAAAATTAAATGAGCTTCTATATTAACTTGTTCTTAACAGTATGTTTTTTAGTGTGGTTATTATATCAACATATGTATCTACCTTCAGGCATTATGTAGTTGAGGGCCCCGAACAAAGCCCCTACGAAGGTGGGTATTATCATGGCAAGCTGGTATTTCCCATGGAGTATCCCTTTCGCCCTCCCAGCATCTACATGATCACACCCTCTGGTCGCTTCAAAACCAACACTCGTCTTTGTCTCTCCATATCAGATTTCCATCCAGACACCTGGAACCCAGCCTGGTCTGTGGCAACAATACTTACAGGACTGTTGTCATTCATGGTGAGTCTAGAACACTGCACAAAGAAATCACGTTACCGTGATATGTTGATGAGAAAATCAGTAGGAGCCACGAAGAAGATTTGAACTGCTGCTCTGGGTACTCCCAAGCAAACGCCTTAAGTGTACCTACACCATGTCATGGTGTAGCATTCTCTCTCCATATAAGATTTATATGGAGATATCAATGTAGCATTGCTACACCATGACATGGTAAAAGTAATGCAAGCTGGGATTCTTTATAACGCTTTTATTCCGCAGCTCACAAAATGAGTACAACATGATTATTATTAGTCCGAAAATTTTATTTTTAAAGTGAGAGTTGGGATGTATTATTGAAAACTGGTATGTAAGTGTCCAGGGTTAAAACTTGTGAATCTTTTGCTGTGGTGAGTGAAAAGTTGACAAGGCAGTTTGATATAATTTTAGCTCAAATTTCGTTTTATGTGCTCATAGTAGAATAAGTTTTTGTAGTTACAAAATGTTGCATTTACACAGCTTTAGAGAAATGACAAGTATATTTTGCACCATTATGTGGCAGTCTAATCAAAATGATTAATGTAATGGGAGCAGAGAAAAGTTTGATTGAATTCAACTTCATTATTTAAGAAACTCAAGTTTATTAGGATGGAACAGTTGATATTCACAGAAATAATCCTTTGTCATCTTTAAGTAATCTTGGATATAGAGCCACATGGATGTTTTTAGATTTTTAGATTTTGTATTCAGTTTTTAGTGGTATTTGGGGTTTTATTCATTTAGTATGTAAATGATTTAGAAAAAACTTTGATACAAATGTACAAATTTCTCACTTTCTCACTTTTTTTTTTTCACGGCACTCAACATTCTATTTTTATGGTATCGTGTGTACTGCAGTTCAGAATATAACCATTAATTACATATGTATATTATATGTGACAAAATGCTTCATATACCATATGGATTATGTGCAGTACTGTACCTTTATTTCTGAAAGTGGAAAAAGAACGTCGACTGAGAGTTAAAATAATACTCGTGTGTAATATGCATCCATAAATGAACGTGACCAAACGCCATGAGAGAATATTTCATTTATCTTATATATTGGTTTTTATATTTGCAGCTTGAAAAATCTCCAACATTTGGTAGCATTGAGACCAGTGACTATGAAAAAAGACAATTGGCTCAACAGAGTTTGAGTTTTAACCTTAAAGACAAGGTCTTCACTGAACTATTTGCTGATATGGCAGAGGTAAGTCAGGATCTCATTAGTGTCACTTCTGTATAGTATTTGCATGTTTTTCATATTAAATTAGCAATGCCTTTCAGTATTATTCTTCAAAGTAGGTTCACAGAGCAAATACTTTCTCTAACATGATTAATCTGCAGTAAATGTCAGAGGATTCAGGAAGAATACATAAGCTATTACTTCTATGTTCTTGATGCCCTATTCAGTCTGGCAACTTCCCTTCCATCATGGATGATCATTTCCAATTTTTTGTTAACAGATTTTTAAGTACAGTTGCTTTCATGAACTGGAAAGAAGAATATGTGCAAAGAAAGATGACTACCTTGAGATGACTATCTCACTTCCTGGGGGTAGTGAGAGAATAGAAGAGCTAGAGAAGTGTCTATCTTGTTATTTATCTTCCTATCTACTTACTCACCTGAATGGTCTTGCTGGAAGTCAGTCCTCATATTTTTTCCTTGTAGTGATTGCTACACTTCCAAGCAAACATTACCAGGAGGTGATATACTTTGACAGATGTTTCAAGTACACCTACAAGAATCCTTGAAACACATCAAAGTTGTAGTCTGAAGTAGTAGTAGAAGAGAGGGAAAAAATTATTATTATCATTATCATTATTAATTGTCATCTACACTTCCATGGAAATAAACATTGTATTCACATGGACTCTAGGAGAATCCAACCTTAGTAGCCCAGTTGATAGAACTTCGGTCTCACATGCCTGGGGTCCGCAGTTCGAGTCTCCTAGAACCCTCCTGAAATGTTAATTATTATTATTATTATTATTGTTATTACTACTACTACAGTATTATTTTTTTATTATAAAAAATGAACACATGAGCAGAAAAAAGGAGAGAATAACAAAATGGTAATTATTTAAAAGAAAATGTGTAAGTGAAGGATAAGGATGTGAGCCTCAAGTAGCACGAGAGTGAGAGCACTCTCGGGGAAAACCCACCAGAGAAAATGTACTTATGTGGGTGACTGCTGCTTCCTGCTTGTGCTCATGTTAGCTGATGATAATTTCTATGTGGTGTTGGTTTTATATGCACAAATACAGTCCTATACAGTATATGTACCTACTAGAATGAACTTATGCAGCAAGTAACATAAAAAGGACAGGTATTGTAAGTATACAAATAAACAGAGAAACCTGAATTAAGGTAATTTTATTTAGCTCGATGCTCCTTCACTATATATTCAGTGTTAATCTTCAAGCATTGATTTAACAAAATGACAAATATACCAAGCACTCTTAAAATACATTACAATAACATGTTGAAATATGAACAGTATCTGAAAAGAGAGAATACAAATTACAGCTCTTGGTTTTTCATGATCGTGTGCGTGATTCTTGCAAAAAAGTAAGAAATATTGTTTAATGTAGCATTATTTTTTATTTTGTTCTTTGTTTTCTGGTGCATGTATGCTCCTGTGGGTGTCAAGAATGTTATTATAGGAATGTTGTACAAAATTGTTAAAAGGAAGGTCAACTATATACATATGTTAACATTGGTGAAATTTCTTAAAAAAATTATATAACGCTCAGGCCAAGTACCAGTACTGAGGTGGCTGCATATTTTGTGTTTAACATAACATTGGCCACTAATGAAGAGTAGACTGTAGTGTCAGACTGTAGATAAGCTTCTCTTTATTCATATCATAGGTTTTCCAATAGTTATTAAGCCCATTACAGGAGACTTGTAATCACATAACATGTTGTTTAAGTGGTAAACAATCAGATTCTCCACTAACTATAAGAAAAGGCAATTTAAGATGTGTGCTTACTAGTTAGCCTGGCTGTTGGTATTCAAGTTTCAATAGTAGATATTTAGATTATGTATCTACTTCACCAGGAACCATGTTATGGAACTCTGTAGACGTCTTTCTATTACTATTCCTCTTGTATTGATAATGTATCTAATTTTAAGATCTTTGGTTCATATTTTATAGTAAATTATTTCTTCTTTGCTTTCACTTCAGGAAATTCAAAATAAACTGACCCAGCGTGAACAGGAGCTTGCAGAGAGAGCGAAGGCTGCAGAAAGTGGAAGCCAAAGTGACAGAGGCCCAACAAGCAATGATAGTACGAACCAGAACCTCGACGCAAGCCAGATGTCTGCACTAACAAACCTGCTGGTTGTTGTTGGTTTTGCCTTATTTGCATGGACAGTGACGTACGTTGTTTCGACTTTAAGTGAAGAAGAAGGATAGTGTGAATTATATACCTATAATGGTCGATGTTTTATTTTAAAATCTGCTAATATTTTGGAAATGTTTAAAAGAAATTGTCATTAACAGTAGGGGGGGGGGAGGGGTGAAGGACTGATATTCAGTACTTCTGCTATTATTACTATATTCATCTGAAGGCTGTAATGAGATAAGCTTCTGTGAAAAATATTCTCTTTTACTTGCGAGTAATCTGGAATGTGTTATCTGAGTTGAACATATTTTTCTTTCCTTTTCTTGATATGCATTTGTGTTTTTCCTAAGCTTACAGTAAAAAATTGTGAGTGAGTGAGTGAATGGATAAAAAAAAGTGGAATATTTGTATATTATTACAGTATTTTTTCTGTGGTGATATGTTTTCTTTTGGAGGAGAAGCAAAAATAACTGCATATTCACATTATTTGTAAAGAAGTAGCCCTGTTGTGAATATTAATTGCTTTGTTATTTGATACGAAGGTTATCATAGTTATGTAAGTTATCTCCAGTGGCAAGCAATCACCGAAGTTTATACAGTACTGTTATTTTCCACTAAGCCCTTGCATAGAATTTTATAAAAAAATAAATAAAAAAATAAAAGCCACCAAATGATGGCCACAACTGTACAGTATGTAATGCCTTCATTCAGAAAAATATATATAAGCATCAGTTCATTCAAAATTATTAAGGTGCATTAAGAATATAGTGATATGAAAAGAAATGAGAAATGGTTATGTAAAATACATACCATCTTATGGTTCCATTGTAGTACAGTATTAAGAAGTGAATTTCTTCTTGTACTTCATTGTATTTTTGTACTATACTTAATTGTATGTTAGATTGACTGTTCAGACAAAAAAATTAATTGTTAAAACATCACCCACATATAGATGTGTATTTTTGTGGTGTGCTAATATATAGTTGAACAGTAGAGTCTGACTAGTTTGATTGCCTGTAGGAATTGAACCATAATTATCCAAGCTTTGTTTACAGCTGCATCATGCACTGATTGGCTAATCTATTAATATTAGCAACATTTAATGGAGAAAATAATAAGGGTTGTTGCTTGAAGATGGTGTGTATTAGAAGACGTCAGAGAATTGGAGGTCATTTCATAAGCACTAATGTGTAAACAGAATATAAGAAGTTGTATGATTGCAGCTCTGCAGGTCAGTGTACACAACTTCAGGTGGAGCACAGAATGCAGATAGCAACCTATCCTCATGGTTTATGTTATACTTGTGCTATATGTACATATCAAAAAGTCCATTTTGGAACTTAACCATTTAGTACTAAAATGCATTTACAAAATGGGATATTTTCAAATAAAGATGAAAATCATAGCCAATTTAATCTAGGCGTAACAAATTAATATAGAGTTATTTCTATGTTAGGCCTACATTATACTTGAAAAGGTTGTATTTCACTTTCATTTTGGCTTCCCCATCTCAAAAAAATAAATTGTAAGTGAATTTTTTACTAAATGGTTTCATTTTAATTGGTGTTAAAAATCTGTACATAAAGGTTTAGCACAAATGTGGGGATAGGTTAAAGACTGCCAGTTATTAAAATTGTATGTAAATATGCAAGTTCATATGTAATATGATGGCACATTTATACGTGTGTGTGTGTGTGCGTGCACGCTTATATTTTATTCCGGCAAGTATTTCCTTACTTCATGTCAGTTCACACAGGACTTTTCTCTTTTTATGCAATCCTGTTTGGTTCCTCACATGTTTTTATTGTTATTTTCTTCTAGAATGTGTCCTTCCCAGCTCTCAGTTTTATCACTTATTATTTTACTCTTGTTTTCCTCTTAATATGGCTGAGGCTGTGTAGCAGTTTGGGTTGGGTCTTCTCTATTTGCTGTGTTTTAAAATTCTCTCTCTCTCTCTCTCTCTCTCTCTCTGTTTCTTGGCTCTCTTGTACCACTCGCTCATCCCCTCATTCAAATAAGTTTTCAATCAACTTATGTATGTGAGTTTTGTCACTTTAGACAGTTGGTTAAAATATTTGTTAACTATTCTGCTGTCAACTCTTGAGACAAGGAAAGCCTTATTGTACTATACTGTTTCCCAGCATTTCTGGTAGATGAATCATGTTGTCATATGGGAGTTTCTTTCTTGAGTTCTGTGTCCCTTGGCATTCCTAATATAAATTTTCTCATCTCAATTGCCCTTTCAATGAGCAAACCCTACTAACTCCTGATCCATTTCCCAAACTACTCATTCCTACTTTCACTATATACTGTACATGGATATTAGTACACAATGGTCACTTGATCCCAAGGAGGCTTCAAAGTCAAATTTTCCTATGTTTGACCCATTTATATGAATGTTTTGCCGAGTCCACATACACCCGTGCGTACTGTACAATAGTATTTCCCCCCTTGCTTCTTATTGCTCCTCGGCATCCTCCATGAGTTACAAAAGTCTAGCAAGTGGACACAGTAGCTTTAGTGCTCTGAAAGTGAGAGGAAAGCAATAAAACTTGATATGAAGCCATAAATAATAAGCAACTAAAAGGCAGTGAAAAAAGCCTGCAACATGAGCATAGCCCCATCAGTTGTTTGTACTATATTGTACCCAAGAATGTTAAGAACATTAAAAGTCAGGATGCAGAGAATGGTGCTTTATTAGTATTAGAATCAGCACAGTGCTCAGTACAGTGCTAGTTTAGGTGAAGGCACTTAGTTTGTCTAAGCATTTCAAAAAGGAAGCTAACAGGTGAGAAAGTTGTGAGTGAAAAAATCTGGTTCTTGTGCCGGGTTATCTTGAGAGATGAGGTTATCTTGAGATGATTTCGGGGCTTAGCGTCCCCACAGCCCGGTCCTTAACCAGGCCTCCTTTTTATTACTAACAGTAACAATAGTAAATAGGTGGATAGTAAAATTAATTAAATGGTACAATTTGCTTCATCTGAAGATGACTGGTGTGACAGTGAGTGTTAATGGCAAAGCAGTTGAGGCTAAAGTATAAGGGTACAGCATTTGAATGGGTTTGTTAGGTCTTCGTGTTAAAGATTTAATATGAGGATGATATTAAAGCTACTGAACACCCACCTAAAATTTTAACCTACAAAACTTGGCTGAAGCTAACAGAATAATGTAAGAAGTCTTTTGTTTTCAACCTGATCCAAACTTAGAACATAGCAGTGAAGTGAATTATATGATCTGTGAAGTAATTTCATGCTTCAATGAACTGTGTCTTGAGGAGCACAGCCAAGCTTCACAGTCTGACATCAAATTGCTTTTCATCATTTCTGCGTCTGTAAGATCAATACCATCTGCAACCTCCTCAGTGCCTTACACAACTGACATGCCAATGTCAAAATTAAAATATTTATCAATAGAATCTAAAGGAAAATGCTGACATTTCATTTTCAAATAATATAAGTGCTAGGCCCCTGCAAGCACTGTGGTTCTTCATATGTGATATTTTATACTTACTGGATTACTTCATTATAAAATTATAATGCACATTCCCAAGTTAAGAAAGTTATTCATGTTATTGGCAATGGAAAATTGACAATCATTTAACGACTTTCTGGTTTCTGAACAATGTTCACAGAATATATCTCGCTTATCAAGTGAGAAATATATGTAATGTTTATGTATAGACAAACTTGCTTGAATGAACGAATTTGTATTAGATCCAGGCCAACCAAAGTTTGCTCGATTCTGTTATTTTTTGACAATTTTTTTGTTTTATAGCCTTGTGTTCAAATAGAGCTCCTACAATCATGCATATATCAATCTGCACTCTGAGAATGGTTACGGCAATGTGTAACATTTCTCCACCAATTTTTATGCATTCATTTATAATTTTTTTTTTTTTATGTTTTCCAGTGTACGAAGTTTGGTGTATATGCACTTATTTTTCTCAGTACAGTATCTGCAAACAAAAAGATAAAATTAAAACTTAATGTTACGTATAATTTACAAATTTTTTTCCCAAAAGATTTAGATCAATGATTCTGGCACAAGTCATCTCTATTTTTAGTTTTTTTGTCACTTAGGAAAAGTTACAAAATTTGCCTTCAAAAGTTTATTTTACTTGTAATTAAACTGACATACTTTTCTAAGTTCAATTTAGCATCTTCAAAAGAAAAGGGAATATTAATACAAAAGAATAAACATAGGAATATATAGCCCAAGCAGGTGTGATAAGAGAAGAGGTGACATCAATATTGAGTTAACAGAGTAATCTGGTCCTGTATTCTCCTTGGACAGCTGGGGAAGTGGGTGGAGTATCACCTTGCTCGGCCCTCTTGGAAGTGATGATAGAAGGTTATACCTAGATGTCAGATGCCTGTTGGCAATTTGATGTGTGTTTGACTTGAAGTACTCTTGCAGTGTCCAATTTCCCATTGTTATAGTATCTATTGGTTTGGTGGTACAGTATCTAGTGAGGGGTCTAGTTAAGTGTAGAAAATATGTATTTACATATACATTAACTTACACACATCATATATACACATACACTCAAGAGGCACATCATTAAACTGGAAAATGTGCAAGGGTATGGTACCAAATGGCTTCCGGAACTGAAAAACACGAGCTGCGAGGAGAAGCTAGAGATGCTAAATATGTCAAAGCTGGAAGATAGAAGAAAAAGAAATGATATGCTCACTACACACACAACAAGAATCAACCAAATTGACAAATATTAATTCTAGAAATTTGCAACCTCAAGAACAAGAGGTAATAGATTCAAGCTAAAGAAACAAAAAGTGCCCAAAAAATATTAGACAGTTTTCTTTTGTAGATGGTTAAAACAAGGTAAGTGAGAAGGTGGTGGTGGCCAAAACTCAGTAGTTCAAAGCGTTACATGACACTACTGTACTGGGAAGATGGGACACTGAGCATAGCTCATCCTGTAACTACACTTAGGTATTTACACACACTAATTACTTATTTCATGTTATTAATACATTTTCTTAATATATTAGCAAATGTCTATAAACCATTCATAAGTAACTCGACCACTAAGCTTCATAATCTGGATTTAATGCTAATAAAATTATAGTATAACTCGGTCATGATTCTGGTAGTACAGTTGTGTTTGTTCTTGACTGACACTCGGGAATCCTGAGGTTCGAATCCTTGGGGGACAATAAGGGTTGGGCACGTTTCCTTTCACCTAGCAGTAAATAGGTACCTGGGAGTTAATTGATGACTATTAAATTATTATTTGGGTGAGAGAGAAAGTGTGTATGTGTAATTACCTAAGTGTAGTTAGAGGATGAGAGCTACAATCATGGTATCCCATCTCCTTAGTACAGTACTCAGACAGGGAGTGTGTCTGTGTGTACTCACCTAGTTGTGCTTGTGGGGGTTGAGCTTTGTCTCTTTGATCCTGCGTCTCAACCGTCAATCAACTGGTGTACAGATTCCTGAGCCTACTGGCCTCTGTCATATCTACATTTGAAACTATGTATGGAGTCCGCCTCCACCACATCACTTCCTAGTGCATTCCATTTGTTAACTATTCTGACACTGAAAAAATTCTATCGTCTCTGTGGCTCATTTGGGTACTTAGTTTTCACTTATGTCTCCTTGTGCGTGTTCCACCCATGCTAAAGAGTTTGTCTTTGTCCACCCTGTTTATTCCCTTGAGAATTTTGTGTGTGCGTGTGCGTATCGGTGTGTGTGTATGTGTAATTACCCAAGTGTAAATCCGGTCTGGGATGATTGGCCATAGCAGTGAAGATGTGGCCCCCCTGTTCTTCACCTGGACAATGGTGGGTACTTCATTTATTAGATAATATGAATTTATAATCCACAGCACAAACAATAACAGATGGGTACACGCCATAAGTGACCTATACAATGGATACAGACAGCAGCACTCCATACATCTCTGTATACATCTCTCTGTTCTCTGTCTCTATTGGTTTCACTCATCTGAATGTGTATACATACAAAGTTGGCATGTATACACCTAGACTTACCTGACAATGTCTAGGCTTTGTACATATTCCTGTCTTCAAACCACCTTACCATACATTTCTTGCAGTGTACAGAGTACTGTATCCTGTATTATATAAACGGTAATGTCCTTTACACTATGCATTGTTATAATACAATGGTGAACTTTGTTAAAATGTTCTGCAGTCTGTTGTATATATTAGTTCAGATATTTTACTTGATCTATTTGTCATGATCTGATTTTTGGTTTTAAAATTTTTGACTGGATATCATGTATTATACTCTCCCAATGAGATGTGTGTGTGTGTTTGTGTGTGTGTGTGTGTATGTGCAAACTATGTGAAAGGTAGCAAAAATTTGTGAAGATCTTGGTTAGAGTAAAAGATTTGCACCAACAGCCTTGTATTGTAGCAAGATAATGCATTTATGATATAGTTAGGTATATAGACTTACGTTCTAAAGCTTTAAAATTGAATAAGTATACTGTACTAATAATGGCTATCTCTTTCACAGGTTATTTTATTATTGTGTAGACTTATGGTTTAAGCAAGATTGTCTGGCGTTATCCCATCTTGCATGCATACTTTCCTTCTCATTTCAGTCTCTCACCTCATCCAGGTTTACCCTGCACATCATCTCCATGCATCTTAGAAAAATCTTTGTTACAATGCAGGCCTCTATTATACTTTGATGCATTTTTTTTTTTTTTACATATTTACACTCTTTTAAGTACTGTATGTACACAAGACACCATCCTTCTTTCTTATAAGTCATTCCTTCCCTTAAGCTCAAAATATTGTACAGTACCTGTACTGTTAATGTATCCTTTCTTGCTCTCTCTCCACTCATGTTATTCAGTGATCATTTCACTGATCATTCCACTCTTTTTATACTCACCCACTTCAAGACAATTAAAATTTTTGCATCTTTTTGTCATATTACGCTTGTCTGCACCTGTGGCTCAAATTATTTTTATTTGACTGGATTTCTTATACCTTCAGTACTTTGCAGTGTTGTCACATCTTTTGTCTTACTGTACTTACTAAATGTAAATTTAAATATATGCGAACAAGCCTGAATGGTCCCCAGGACATATGCAACTGATAAGTACTAATAATGGATATCATCAAAATATTTAGACTACATAAATTTTGCCATCTTCAATCCATTCATATATTATATATATTTATCCATATACCAGTTTGTTAATCAACATTCCTTCTCTTCAAAGAAAATGGGGCAGTATATGTGCACAATTGGCAAACTAAACACAGACACTAAATGCCTTCATGAAAGATTCTAATTTGAAATGGTAAGAGCCCCGAATTATCTTAACCTTCCAATTAAGTTCTTCGGTATGCAGGAAACACTGGTGATCTTCAATGCCAATCCCCTTAACTCATCAAAATATTTAGACTACATAAATTTTGCCATCTTCAATCCATTCATACATGAATAACATTCCAGTGTTTATTTGGTTGTACTCTTTATTTAAAATACATTTTTCTTTGTAACTTCATAACCTACTCGTTTTCTGTAACCTTCATAACTTTTATTTGTTCTTACATTGTTATTTGATAACATAGATAGTAGTGTCTCTTCCAGTACCAATGTTCATTCTGTATCCTTTCCAATAATACAGCATTTGATTAACAGAGAACCTAAAGCAAGGACTAGATAGGTAGTGTAACATTTTATTTCTTTTTGAACAGTAATTAAAACCTGTTGCCTGTTCATGATGTTAAGAGTTGTTCTACTTGAGCAGCCTAGCCTGTGGCTGCCTTGTCAATATGTTTTCATCATAACTTTATAATTTATGTGTAAACAAACATAATTGTAATACAGTATAAATATATGAAGACCTTATTCATTTATAACATCAAACCTGATCAAAGAATTTTGTTGTGTAAATGTTTTGAAATCAACTTTTTCCAGGAACATTGCAAGAATGTTGCATTGTTATTTGAAAGCCTTCCTAACTCTTATGTTGAACACTACTTAGTTTAAATTGCTGTTCAACATTCAAAGGAGCAGGGACTTTATTTTAGAGTATAATTAGATTCGAAGGACCATAAAAATTCTGTATTTTTAGGCTGAAACGGATCAAATAACTAATGTATATTTAAACAAATATTGGAGTGGTTGGAGAGAAATTTTGGCTCAGACCTACAGTGGAGGTCTGCCATCATCAGTGATCATACACCAGCATCAGTGATCATACTCAATCATCAGTGATCATACACCAGCATAATAACACAATAATTTTGTGTTTAATAACACATATTATTTGTTATATTACAAAGAGTCCTGGGAAGACGGGACACCATGAGCGTAGTTCTCATCCTGTAACTACACTTAGGCGTAGTTATTTAGGTAATTACCAGCATCAGTGATCATACACCAGCATCAGTAATCATACGCCAGCATCAGTAATTATACACCAGCACCAGATATCATACACCAACATCAGTAATCATACACCAGCATCAGAGATCATACAAGAGCATTAGTGACTTAGGTGGTTAAACATAGGTAATCACCGTATGATGCAAGTAACTAGATCAGTTACTTTTCTGCTTATATCATTAAGTGGATGCTTAAAAGTATCAAATCTAACAGGAAATACAGTGTTACAGATACTTTATATAGGAAATTCCATAAAGTTGGGAAGGTTAGAGAATTAAACTAATAGACAACATGTGATTGTACACCAAAAAAAAAAAAGTTTACCTTAATTAATTTAACCCCTCTCCGATAATACTTTCTAGTGTCATTTACCCTCGGGGTTCATTATCTTCTGGTGTCATTTACCCTCGGGGTTCATTATCTTCTGGTGTCATTTACCCTCGGGGTTCATTATCTTCTGGTGTCATTTACCCTCGGGGTTCATTATCTTCTGGTGTCATTTACCCTCGGGGTTCATTATCTTCTGGTGTCATTTACCCTCGGGGCTCATTATCTTCTGATGTCATTTACCCTCGGGGTTCATTACCTTCTGGTGTCATTTACTCTCAGGGTGCATTACCTTCTGGTGTCATTTACCCTCAGGGTTCATTGTCTTCTGGTGTCATTTGCCTTCAGGGTTCAGTGCCTTCTGGTGTCATTTACCCTTAGGGTTCAATGCCTTCTGGTGTTATTTACCAATGGGGTATCATTACCCACTCTAATATCATTAGCCATCTGGTATACTCTACCCTCTGGTGTCATTACCCTTTGGTGCCATTACTCTGGTGTCATTACTCTCTGGTGTCTTTACTCTGGTGCCATTACTCTGGTGTCATTACTCTCTGGTGTCTTTACTCTGGTGCCATTACTCTGGTGTCATTACACTCTGGTGTCTTTACTCTGGTGTCATTACTCTGGTGTCATTACTCTCTAGTGTCACTGCTCGCAGATGTCATTACTCTCTGGTGTCATTACTCTATAGTATCATTGCTCGCTGGTGTCATTAATCTTTGGTGTCATTATTCTCTGCTGTCATTACTCTCTGGTGTTATTGCTCTCTGCTGTCATTACTCTCTGGTGTTATTGCTCTCCGGTGTCATTACTTTATAGTATCATTGCTCGCTGGTGTCATTACTCTATAGTATCATTGCACAATGGTGTCATTAATCTCTGGTGTCATTGCTCTCTGCTGTCATTACTCGCTGGTGTCATTACTCTATGATGTCGTTTTCTTAGCAGCACTGATTTGCCCAATTATATTCACTAGTATATTTTTAACAACTCATTAGACAAATCGTGCATAATAAAGAAGATTTATATTCATCTGAACCAAATTTCCTCAAAATTATGTTAACTTCTTTGTACAAAGAATTGTAGTTATAGGAAGTAGTAAGTGTAAACATGGATAGCATTGTATACATAAATTAAGTTTGGAATGGTTTGATTTTATTGAATTTTTGCTTTTTGCAAGCAAAGCTAATGAGCTTTGAGCAAAGCTAATTCAGAGCTAATGAGACTGATCAGCCATTGAAGAATCATGGAAATCAGGGTTATAGTAAGGGGATAATGTATGAGTTTTTTAAATATATATGATTAAGAGCTGTGCATGATTATTATTTCATCCATGAATATGGTGGTGTATCTTAAGTTGTTTTTTGAAATGTAGAGATGTCTTATCACCTCATGTTTTCTCTTGAATACAGTAGGTTGACCCAAGTCTTCATGAAGCAGGTTCGAATATTAATTGCTGGATAAATATAGAAACTTTTTTGCTTTTGATTTGGAGAAAGATGAGTTCTTTCCCCAGGAAAATATTGTTATAATGTAGATGCCACAATTTTAATTTTTTTGTCACACTATTATTTTTATTTATTTACACTTCCTCATTAGTAAGCTGCGATGAGAATCAATTATTTTCATCTTGATGATTCCAACACAATAGAGGAATAAAGGTTTGTATAAATATAAATGTTAATTATAAATTAATAGAATTTTTATAAATGTTGAATTTTTAAATAACTTGTAATTCAACATTGGGTAAATTTAACTTTGGTAAATTTAAGATTGGGAAATGAAGGAATGAATAAATAGCATGTAATTAAATGTTGGATAAATCTAACCTTGTGTAGTTACGGTAACTTTGGTAAGTATAACAAGGGTAAATTTAAGCTTAGGTAATTTTATATCAGTATCTTCAGTGGAAAAATCTAACAATGAGGAATTTACATAGGGAAAATTTTTCCTTGAGTAACCTAACAATGGGAAACAGTAACATTGGAAGTGTTAAGAGTTACATGGACTGTAGCTGAATTCATCGAATAAATGAATACAGAAGTACAGTGCAGAAGCGGAAGTTTAATAATAGGGGAAGGGGGGGAGAAGTAGGCACTACACAGAGGAACAATGACAAAGTAAACCACTTAAGTCAATACAGTGAGCATTGATAGTCCCCGTGGCGCAGTGCTAACACACTCGCCCGGCGCTGTGCCAGCAAGTTGGCCTGGGTTCGTATCCTGGCCGGGGAGGATTGACTGGGCGCCAATCCTTAACTGTACGCATCTGTTCACCCAGCAGTGAATAGGTACCTGGTTGTTAAATTTATCTATTTATTGATTTGCATATATATACACACAAGAAGGTACATTGGGTGATTTGGTGGAACGTATTCCAGGGAAAATTGATTACATATAAGGTAAAGAGATGGGAGCCAGGAGCTGGAGCCCAACCAGCACAAGCAGGGATATAAGTACATAGTTTCTGAGTAGAGTAGAGATTGATTGATAAAGATTAAGCCACCCAAGAGGTGGCATGGGCATGAATAACCCGTAAAAGAGTAGAGATTGATTGATTGATTAAGATTAAGCCACCCAAGAGATGACACGGGCATGAATAGCCCGTAAAAGAGTAGAGATTGATTGATTGATAAAGATTAAGCCACCCAAGAGGTGACACGGGCATGAATAGCCCGTAAAAGAGTAGAGAGCTGAGCGCGCACATAAATATTCCGCAGTTGGAATGTCTTTAGCTGCGTCTTAGTTGATCATTGTGAGACAATACTTGTTCTTAGCTAGTGTGCCTCTCCCTCACACTCTAGCTACTTGTTTTAACACCTTACGTTATCAAATGCGAATTCAGAGCTTTATATAAATAAGGTCGCAAGTTAATCATACGGGTATTAATAGGCAGCTATATATAATGCTAAATATTGTATGTCACAAAAACATTTATAAACTGAAGAAAGGGTAAAAGTGGTACTGCTTTAATCGTATTTATAGCTATATTTACATAACTGCAATACAGAGGCCAAGGGGGGTAAAAAAAATTGTATGCATATGAATGAGCGAGGTTGCAGCTGAGGGCGACTAGAGGCTATGGAGGAGGTTCAAGGAACTTATAGCACGAGACAAGAGAGCATCCGCAGAGTAGTGAGAGCGCGCGGGGAGGGGGATGGACGGCCCCTCTAGCCCGCCTCACAGGGTTCAACTCTACTACCTTTGTTTACAATTGCTTCCTCTGATCGGACGACGTCGGTCTACTCTGGCACAGATAAATTAGTGAAAATGAGTGTGTTGAGGAGGCTTGTGGCGAGATAAATGACATCGAGGAGCCCTCGGGATCAGCTGCAACAGTATGCTCGGAGGAGGGTCGCGTCACCGACCACGTAGCGGAGTTGAGAATGTGAAGAGAGGTTTTACCCTGTCGCAGTTTGGCTTTGGACTATTTCCAGATGAGTGAGGTACAGTTTATGAGACTTGTGAGAGAAGTTCTCTCACACATTACTCGACTCCATTGTTTCTAAGTACTTGTTGACCTAGTATAATTTATGGAGGAAGATTTGTCAAAAAGTACAGTACCTTTAGGGCAAAAAAATAATGATATTTATTAGGTATCCTTTCCTTCCAGATTGTAAACAGTTTGTGGTTTTTAAAGAAAACTGATAATATCAGCTGTGGCTGAATTATGAGTTATGCACCAGTCTTCTGGGAAATGTTTGCAAGTCTCCTGACATGAGCTGAGTGTTGTGCAGACCCCTCCTTCCCCTTCCCAGTAAGTAGCAGTCACTTTTTGAGTTACTTCATGCATGGAAGCAGCTCTGTGTACAATTGTCAACAGGCACAGCAGTCTTTCCCTGTCTCCATCACACATCTCCCTCAGTTGATATTGCTACACTAGGTGCCACCACCACCACCAATATACTCCTTCATTGTCATCAGAAAGCCACTACATGTACCATTAATACGCTTCCTAAATTTATTTGCAGTTAGCATCACAGCACATGTTCTCATGTTTACTACTTGTAAACATACAGGCAATGTTTTGAACAAATTCATTGGAAAAGATTTTTCATAATTTTATAATTCCAGGGATTTGAGGGGTATTTATACATGAATGGCTGTACAAATCTCCAAACAATGAACAGAGAGGCTTGACATCCGTGCCCTTTCCCATAATGTATATACATGTGTAGGTCGAGTACTCGCATGTTACTCCTCAGGTCATGTTTCTTAGGTTAGAGAGAGTCGCTGCCATACTCGCACTATGTGAATATTTTTAGTTTCAAATGTGTATGTACATTTTGCAAATACTTTGGCAATCTCTCACTAGGTGTATGGCTAGGAGAAACAAATAGTGTGTGAATATAATGTCAACCACTAATATTGTAAATTCTTTTAAACTTCCTTCCCATAAGCAAACCTCTGCTAGGTAATTTAAAAAAGAAAGATATTCAGCAGATGGCTAAAACTAAATATTACAGTTGATAAAACATTAATAATATTTAGTATAAATATAGTTATTACACATTTATGCACCACAGAAAGCACACTGCATTAATTAATGTGAGGCCAATTTTGGTAACATTGATCTAACATCAGAACAATATTAGTAACAGTGATTCAGTATGGTGTGCCAACTGTGGATTTGATGTGGATCCTTGCATTCGGTGACATCCTAATTAGCTTGTGTACCATCGAACCATCTAAACAACATGTACAGTACTCGCAAATTTTGGTTGAATTATAATCTCATACAAACGCCCAGTAATATTTCTAAGAGACATTTTTGTTTAGGGAGTAAACCGTTGATGCTCATGATCTTAACCTTTATCAAACTATTTAATTATAAACAATGTGTAGTACACTTTTTTTCATGTTCTCTTCTGTTTATTATTGGGTAACTATTTCCTTCTACTGTATGGTAACATTTTTATTTGTTTACTTACCAAGCATTGTAAACTTTCAATATACTGTATCTTGATTTTACTCTAAACACTGTCTTTCAGTAGCTGATTTAATTATAGCTAGTGGGCTCTGTCATAACATTTAATATCAACATTTGCAGTCCCCGTGGTGTAGTGGTTAAGATGCTCACCTGACATTTCGCGAGCGCTTTGTCCTGGGTTCGTATCCTGGCCGGGGAGGATTTACTGGGCACAAATCCTTAACTGTAGCCTCTGTTTAACTCTACAGTAAAATGGGTACCTGGTTGTTAAACGATTTTTCGCGGGGTCGTATTCCAGGGAACATAGGAGTTAGGACTTGTCTGAAGAGCTACAAGTACTAGTGGATGTACAAGACATTGATTGGAAGGAATTTAGGTCATACACACAGATTAGAAATAGGATTGGCTCCAGTATAATAGTGCAGAGGTTATGTGATAGTGTGTAGTGTGAAAGATTAGGTGAATGGGTAGGTGTCATTGTGAGCATTTTAAACCTTCTTTCCCAATATGGTACAATACTGTATTTGTTACCCAGTTCCTCCTGGTCGATGCCTTCTCATCTCTATTAAAGTCGGAAATGATGTGGTGATGATGATGAGGATTAAAATATTATAGTATTGTTTAAACTATGTATGTATTTGATTGAATGCTATAAATAACTTAATACAAATTTGATTTTAGAAGTAGTATTTGCAGTATAATCCTCAAATAGCTAGTAAAGTAACAACAATAGTAAAGCTTTTTCTTTTTTTGGTACAATATTTTAACGTGTACAGTATATGATGTGTTTATCAAATAGGTGCTAACTTTTCAATGGTTTCCTGTTTCAGCCATCATGGACAAGATTGTGTACAGCATTATACACATGCCAAACCAATCAGACCATGTCAAAAGAGCACTGCTAGCTAAATTGGTCCATACCCCCAATTTAAAGACCACCAGAACCTTAGAGAAAGTGGATGTAATATCTATTTTTGACACGTGTGTGGAGATCTTAACTCTGTCTGAAAATGAGGGTACTGCTCAGCTTGCAGTGTTTGCCTTCAGCAACTGGGCTGGGCAGTACAAGTCCTACCTGAGAGATTATATCACACCAGAACGAGTGACCAATATTCTCTCAAGTCAGAATAATGTCACTTTGCTCCTTGTGTGGTTGAAGGAAGCACTCTGTCATTTAACTGAAGATGCAGATGTTCTATGCACCTTGACTCAAGTAAGTTCAGTAGCCAGTTTTGAAGTGATAAAGAACTGTAGCTCTGGTATGCTTTTATTTCCTAAAGATATTTGTTATTTAAACAAAGTACACACTATATAATTAGAGTTTGATTTTTGTGAGCTATTTTAGCATATTTTGCTTCAGATTGTAAGAAATAATGTTTGACCTGTATTATAAACTCTCTCTCAAAGGTATCATGATCCTCTGCATCTTGAATGGATCATGGGTTAGTTAGGCAGGACCTCACATGGCAATGGTGCTTCAAGGGGATATGTATATGTACACTTTATTATGTACTGTATTTATTAGACATTATTTACTGTATTTACTATACAGTGCCTTTATTTTACTGTACTTAAAGTACATTTTTACTCTACTGTATGTTATTTATTTGCTGTACAGTGCCTTTGTTGGTCCAGGTAAAGTTGCTGGAAGTCACTGTATATATTGCCATCTAGCCAGGTAGCAGATAGTCAGAAGGGTCTATTCAAAAGCCTAATGCAAAATTGGTTTGAGTTACTTCATATACATGACTATGAAAGGAAGCCCAAACGATGCCAACAAATACAGTAATCAAAATACCAGCCTACTACTCAGACCCCATTAGGTGGTAGCACTGCTGCTAGAGTGGCTCTGACCCACATACATCCTGACTGTCCAGGGTAACAAGTGCAGTTTCCTGCTGCATTGTTGACAATTCAAAGACACATTTACCAGTATAATTAGCTGGCAGAGTTGGTGCATTCATACTGTCATGATTCCTCACTACAAAATATAGACAATTGGCTATTTATAAAAAAAGAAAACACTAGTTGAGTCAGCTGCAGTGCTGTTTAGTTTATATTGATCCTCACTGTCTGCACTGCATGAATAATAAACCCCCTACTCGACCAGGCTCGGAGAGAACTCCTATAATAGGTGGAGAATTTTTGCTAAATCAATGCTTATAAAACTTGGCACTCTTCTGTTGCTTACAATCTGATGGATTATTATGTCTTTCACATGGATTTCACTTGGCCTTGCCTTGCAAAAGACACTATAATGCCTGAATTATATTATGTAAAGGAAGTACAAGTTAATTAGGTTACTCAGGCATTGCATTTTAATTACAAGACTCATCCTTTGTTTATGGGTTAACTGAATGGATCTATCAGTTTTCGAATCTGGAGGCTAGTTCATTTATTATCTCATGTGGGAACAAATACATGGAGCCAAAAGAACAATTTTGTAAGCTTTGGGAACTTGTTTATACGAACATAAGAATGAAAGTAACTGCAGAAGGCCTATAGGCCCATACGAGGCATTTATGACCACCCAATCTTAGTCATATATGTGCATATCCTCGTGAGCACTGCAAGTAGGTTAGCTCATTTACCCTTGGGCACAGTTTATTATGCCCCTCACTTCATGGGGACCCAGTCCTCAAATTTTATCCAGTTTCTCAGATTCTTGTAGCAAAGGGCAGATGGGTTTGTGCGTGTATAACTGGCGATCCTGACGAAAGACAGAGGATCCCTATACTTTTGGTAAAGGCATAATAATACAGCTCTTGGAAAAAAGTTCACACACAGCATAATACTTTAGTGATATGTATTTTAGCATTACAGTTTTCATATGTTTATATAATAACTTTTAAGATTGGCATTTTCATTTTGTGAATAAAAGAAATTAATTCCTAGAATCATTTAAATAATAAGTTTAAATTGTTTAGTTTTCAGTGTTAATATGTTATGCTTGTGATGTTCTTAATTTTCCACAGTTTGAAGGTATACAGTATAGGTATTGCAATAATATGTTATCTGTAGGTCCTGGAAGGGGTTTTGCAAAACAAGCTACGGGAGAGTGGAGGCAGTTCTGCGTTTGTTGCCAAGCTTGCCGATGTGTACGCAGTGTGTCCCGCACTTCTTCCGCAGCCACACACCCGTCTCACCTTTACTGTCACACTCATGAACTGCGTTGCTTCATTTCCAACACCAACAAAAACAGAAGTATGTAATTTGAATGCAATTACTATATTACAGTATTTATAATATTAGGTACTGCAGCCAGTTATAATAATTTTAACTTAAAATGTAAACAAAAAATATTGGTGATACTGTGCAGTATTTTGGCTCTGGTAAGGTGCCAGTGCAGATGGCTCGCATAAAGTAGAGACTTTATTAGTAAGTAAGGCTACCTTGAAAAAAAAATGCCAGCATTGACTTCTGCACTACAATACTACCATTCCAGTAATGCTTAAGTAGTACACTTTTTTTTTTTTAGTACTAGTTTCATAACAAAACTTCCAAGAAAGTAAGGGAGTTTCAAATTCAGGAATGAAGGTTGATGAGGCAGAGGCTTTATTGTTGATTGACAAGGCCCCCTCCACATCATGATATGATCAGTTTAAGCTCAGTGGATGGCACAATAATGTGCAGGAAACAAATCCACAAGGGCCGTGAAGAGGGTTCGAACTTACGTCCGGGATGATCCCAGACGCACCTTAGTCGATTCTGCTACGACATGGTAAAAGAATTGCAAGCGGGAGTGCTACTGCTCTCACACGGATCCCGCAGCCTCTCTGAGACACAAACCGGGGTTTTATACAATTCCCCCATGCACCCGAGCTCTGTCAACAAGCTGTTCTACCTTTTCGCCCTTCAATACACACAGAAATCACAATAGGAAATTGAGGAAATCACATTCTTCAATTTGAAACTCCCTTACCTTCCTGGAGTTATGTTTGTATATGTAAAAGATCTATGTTTGTATATTATTTTGTTGTGTATATTGCATAAGATGTATTCTATTGTTTGTAATAAACAAATACAGTACTATATAAATTGCACAAATCTGCATAAAACCTTTGTAACGTTCAACGAAAATCTTGAAAATCCGGGATGTGTTTGGTCCCAAATGTTTAGCTCTGGCAGGGTTACATTTACAGTGTATTAGTACTACAGTAATAAATCAACTCCAGTTTACATTCCACGTTGTCACATTTAGATTTTGCAAGTACAAATTTTTCTAGCTTTTACATATTAATGAATAATGATTGGATTTTTGAGTCCAGCAAGTTTTACAGATAGTTTCAGTCCTGAGGTATCTTGTTACATTATATTTAAAGTAGCATACTGTATATAGTTATTATGAAGTTATTCACTTGTTCGTTCACACCAGGTGTTAGGCCACATGAAGAGTGTAGGTGGCCTGGTCAACACCCTGTGGAATGGCCTACGACTTGAAGACATCTTGTACTCCCTTAATGCCATGTACGCCATTATTTCCAACACTGGTGAGTTGTCCAGTGCTCTTTTTAAAGCATTTATGTAATAAAGTTTGTATGTACGAATAAAGGCAAAAATATAACTTACAAGAATTATGTTTGATATTGCACAATTGTTTAACAATTAGTAGAAATAGTGCTCTTTTGTTTATGTATGATGTGTTATAGACTCCCCTATTCATGAGAGGTTGGATTATTAATTTTGTCTATAACATACTATAAATTTTGGAGAAAAAATCAGAATTTAAAGAGATGCTCTATAATCTTTGGCCATGAACTTTTACTTATATTTGGCTTTATTAAATAGACAGTGGATGGGAAGTATGTCCTGCCATGGCACACCTGCTCTCTCTAGTTCCTACTGTTGTGGTAGAGGCTCTTGCTCCTCGAATTGTGTCGGATCCCACAACCACCGATGCTGCTTTGACTGCAACTTTGACACGCCTTACTGCCTGGTTGGTGACGTGGCCCACCGCTCACGTAACGTTAGGCTTGTGGGTCCGCACCCTGGTTAAGCTGTTGTATCAGAGTGGACGCTCGTCTGTGCCCGCACGTGTTACCCTGGATGGAGTACCAAAGGTAATAAATTTCATGAAATGCCTTTACAATTTAGTTTTATTCAGATATAGTCTTTATTCATATATATATATATACTGTATATATATAATGAGAAAGGTGATGGCGAGAAATACAAGAGATAAGGAGGCCTAAGTAAGGGCAAAATAAAGTGAAATATTGTACATGGAATAATATGTTGATGTAAGAGTTGAGCAGCATGCAATACTGTAGTGTGTGTAGACTAAGATACTATCATTGGTTTGTTATGGATATCCAGGGCGACCTGTTTACTACCAAGATCATGATATGCAGAATATGAATGTATTTATTCAAATATATTTGTTTCAGTTGATGAATGCTCTGCAAATCCCTGTGGTTCGCAATGGGATTGTGTCTGTGATATCAACACTTCTATTATCATTTCAGCACTCGCCAATAGCTTTTCATAAGGTAAGATTTGCAACGTGATGAACATAAACATTTTACTTGGTATGTAAATTTACTTTAATTTTACTGAGCAGATGCCTTCCATGGCAGTTTTCAGCACTCTCTCTCTCTAGCATTTAAAATTAAAGAGCAACTAAATTAAAATAATATTTGTTCCCAATCTCAGAAGAACTAATTTTGGAAGAATGGGTCACTTGAGTTAGACCTTACCTTGAGGTTACCTTGAGGTGATTCCGGGGTTAGCGACCCTACGGCCCGGTCGTCAACCAGGCCTCCTAGTCTACAGTATTTTGAACTCAACTTGGAAGGTGGTGGGGCTTGTGTGTGTTGATGACCTGGAGGCAGTTGAGTAAGGCTTTTGAAGCCTTTATTGTTTTTATGGTCAAAGAATATTAGGCAGACTCGGGGTGTTCCATCCTTTAGGGATAAGTATTGTGGTCTTGTTGGATCACAACCTATCTGCTGGTTTGGCTCTTATTTTGGGGGAATTGAACCAAAATTGTAAACCATATCCAGTTTTCATGTGAATATTTTTGTTTACTGTGCCAATGACCGCATTGTTACAGTGCCAGAGTAATTAATTGTAAATCAGCCAATCCTGTATTGAAGATGTAAATGTTAAATTATTTAATAATTCTTAATGGTACCCCATATTAAATTTTTGTTCTGGATTCTCGCTGAATGTGTAATACATTTGCTTTAACTATCATATAGCTGTTATGATGTATTCAATTTATTCTTAATTAAAATAATGTTGCCTTGACTTATTAACACTTCTTGCAGGCGATGAGTCACAATAACGTGGCTGAAGTATGTTGACCAGACCACACACTAGAAATTGAAGGGACGACGACGTTTCGGTCCGTCCTGGACCATTCTCAAGTCGATCGACTTGAGAATGGTCCAGGACGGACCGAAACGTCGTCGTCCCTTCAACTTCTAGTGTGTGGTCTGGTCAACAAGTTAACACTTCTTGATTTAATTCATTGTGAATCTGCTGCTCAGATCATTCCATTGGTCATTGATGTGTTTAACCGCCTCGAGAGAGAGGGGTCACAGTCCGCAACGTCAACACTGAGTCGCTTGGCCACCCTCGGCCACTCCCTCATGGCCTTGCATCCAGGTCACCCAGACACTTACCAGCCACTTATGGATATTCTTATGGTAAGTTAGTGTCTTTTTTTTTTATTAGGTGTGGCTCGTGAATGTTGTTGTTCAAGTCATTTTCTTCGTACGTAACTTGAGGCATTCTGAACTGTATGTTGTGCATTTTTATATTTTCACTGCATCACATTTTTCTGTAAATTATTTTTCCATTCCATACGTTCAGTTGTGTCTTATGCTCCATTAAGTGATACAACTCTTCTTAATCAAGTTTTGGACTTCAATAATTGCCTCAAGTATTCTATTTTTTATTGCAATAAATCTGATATCATTCATGCTACCCGTGGCTTTCTCTTCTTGATGGAATGTTAACACCACTTCATGCATTTTGTAAGTTTCATTCTTGGCCTATCTAGTTCATTCTTGGCCCATCTAGTTCATTCTTGGCCCATCTAGTTCATTCTTGGCCCATCTAGTTCCTAAGGCTGAATCCAGCACATGTCTGGTCTGAATCTGTCACAGTGCCGGTTCATATTTCACACCATTGGGGCATGGCGATTTATGACCCGTCTTTGTAACATCACACTAGTGCTGAATGCAGGTAATCTCACTCTAAAATATAAACATTTAAAGTGCCTAACATAAACACAAAAATGTTTCAAGGCTTCTACATTAGATCAATGCCTTCTGTATCAGTAAAAGATTACAAAAAATGGCAAGCTTAGGTAAGGGTGTCATATTGCTGCCGGTTTCCTAGTCCTAGTAATTACACACACAACATTTGTATGTCCATTGTTAAAGCAAGAGCTTGCATTGGGTTATCTTAAAGGGTTTAGTGTAAAGATGAGATATTGTTGTTGACTGTGGCATCTGGGTTTTAATGTTGGCCCAGTCATGTCTTTGGTTAATAGTTTTGAATATAATAAAAATGATATCTCAATGATTTGTTGTCTGCTGATTAATAGTTAGTCTTTTTACTTCTTCCTTAGTTAAAAAATGGTGTTCTCATTTATTCTCTTAATTATGTAATGAATGGTATAGAGAGGTGAATAAATATTAAAGATAAGCTAACGTTGCTCCTGTCATTGTAGAAATACCAGTCTCCGTCCGAAGAAGACATTGAAGGCTTGATCCAAGAGCACCGATGGGCCGTGGCGGAGGGTGGAGCACGAGGGATTGGTACACACCAGTATGGGGTGGGTGTGGCTGCCGAGACGCGCACAGTATACCAGCAGAGACCGGCAAGCCAGAGAGTGGGCCTTCGTAACTTGGGAAACACATGCTACATGAATTCTGTTATACAGGCCTTGTTTATGACAGACAGGTCGGTAGATTTATTTTTTATAGATTGAGCACTTGCATAAGATGCTGTTGTGGAAGCATAAATGTGATGGGGTGTGATTAAGGTGTGTGGAAGAGATTCTTTTGTATAGTGTGTGTTATACAGTATACAATATTGTAAATGTATGAACATGCAAATTTTGTTTTAAATATTGAGGATGAATATGTTGATAGTTGTATAATTACTTAAACTGGTAAATGATAGGGGTTCATTACTGTTTTAAATAATAAGGCTCTCCTTAGAGTACCTTATATTTTGGCTCTGAAATCTTTAGATTTTCACTGACTTGTTTGAAATTTGTGCACAAATATTTAATTCTTGTATTGTTTGTTTAAACATTCTACATACAGTGTTGCTTAATTGGTAGTTTATATATTAAAGTAAAGTATTCTAATAAAGGATGGTGAAGAGTTGTCACTTCGTTACACAGTGGAGAAAACCCAAAACTCTTTAGTTTAGCATTGCCTAATTATTATGAATTGTGGATTCTGTAGACTGCTAGTCACAAGTGGCACTTAAGGTTGTAGTATTATTTCTGGAGATTCAGTTTAAATTCCAAAATAGGTTTAATTCAATTAAAATTTAACATTAAAATTTAAGCAGGGACATAGGTAAAGAAAATATGATGAGTAAAGTTGTTACTTAAAAAATCAATCAATCAACAGCTTTCGTCATGGTATCCTGCATGCTGTACCACGGAGCAACCAGCAGCTTTTGGTGCAGCTGCAGCAGCTGTTCAGTTTGCTGTGTTTCACCCATCGCACGTATGTGGCTCCTCGTCAGTTTCACGACAAGTCTCGACCCCCATGGTTCAATCCAGGCATGCAGCAAGATTGTTCTGAATATCTTAGGTTGGTAAACTATTGTCTTGATCAGTTTGTGAGTATGCTTATGTTTGACAACAAGAACAAGGAAAATGGTATGTCTGTATAACAGACAGGTTATGTGATGAAAGTCTGACAGATTAATTGTGATTAAAGCTCAATAAATATTCTTCAACATTCCTTTAATTGTTTAAGAAGTTGAATGAACAAGTGATGACGGACTAGTGAATAGAGTAGCTGATTCAAGTTGAGGGTAGGTGTAGAAGAAAGCCGGGAGTGTATAAATGTGTGAGAAAACAAACTTAGGGAGCCGAGCGGACAGCACGCTGGCTTGTGATCCTGTGGTCCTGGGTTCGATCCCAGGCGCCGGCAAGAAACAATGGGCAGAGTTTCTTTCACCCTATGCCCCTGTTACCTAGCAGTAAAATAGGTACCTGGGTGTTAGTCAGCTGTCACGGGCTGCTTCCTGGGGGTGGAGGCCTGGTCGAGGATTGGGCCGCGGGGACACTAAAAAGCCTCGAAATCATCTCAAGATAACCTCAAGATAATCTCAAGAAACTTAATTTGAAGAGCACATGGAATATGCTAAGAGATGCTGGGGATCTCCAGCTGAAGAGTGGTAGTGTTTGTTTCTCCATGAAGCTTCATACTTTATATGATATGGTGAATGGATGAGCTTTTTCTCAGCAGATGCCTCTGCACCTAATAAATGTGAGAAATGGAATGATGATGATGCTGTATTTCTCATATACATTACCCATTGATACATCTTATTAGCTGCAAATGACATCTGTATGATAAATATTGCATGTATATCTTTTCATGATACACAGGAAAATTACCTATTTTAGAGCATTGTTTGTGTATGTGTGTGTGTAGTTTTCTACAATGAGGTGCCCACTGTCCTTGTAACTTATAATTAATACAGAGATCTCCTGGTTTTAGGTCTTGATTTGATGTGGCTCTGTGTAAGACACAAATTAAGACTAAGTGTTCTACACGATTGGTGCTTGGTTCTAGGTGGGTTTACGTAGTGATGCATGTTATTGGTACCTGTAGTGTCATGTTATCCCTAGAACTCTTGTCAGTAAATATTATTGCATTAATACTGAATTTCATCTAAAGTTTTATGTCAAAGAAATTTTTCTGTGGAGAGCCCCTCCGGCTCACCGGAGCTATACCGGGCTGATATGCATGTATTAGACCGTGGCATCAGTCAATTTGAATGGAGTTCTAGCCTACCGGGGACCACGAACCAGAACCTGGCCCCCCTCAGGGAGGCACAAGGAGCAATGGCCTATAGAAACCCCCATGTGGTTGGAAGCATTCTATGTCTGCCATCTACCAGGTTAGACACCCAGAAAGGTAGGCGTGCCAAAACAAACCCCAACTGATGAAACATTACCACTGAAAACCGACTGCTAAGCAGAACTACTGAATCCAAAAACAAGCAAACAAGAATGACGTCACACCCACCGCCGTTCCACCTGTCTGCGCTGCTTCTCCCACCCAGGTAGGGAAAGGGGGGGGGCGCCCCAGACCCCTGCACCAGCTGTCCAACTCCAGTTATGAGGCTGTGATGGTGAGTGGAGGTCGTTTAACTCTGGCTCGTTCACTGCCTGAGCCGTTCTGGTCGTTAGACTGGGAGCACTCTTATCTCTCTCCTCCTCAGTTTGTGGTGGCCCCTTCGGTTCGGGACTGTTTTGATAAGGTTCTTCTCTTGGTCGCATTCACCTCTGGGGGTCGGGTCGGGGAGCTTCATGCTCTCCTCCGGCGCAGGGGTTTCTGCTCTTTCGGTCGTGGTGATCGGTTTGTTTCGTCTGTAGCCGTTTCCTTCTTTTCTGGCGAAGAATGAAACGGCTGCTTTCCGGAGGGGTCCTTGTGTTGTTGATGCTTGGTTAGTCAGGCCCTGGTGGGGGGGTGCATCATGTTTTGTGACCGGTTGTGGCCCTCCGCCGTTATTTGCGCGCCACGGCTTCCGTGTCCGGGGACATGCTTTGGGTTGATCCGGTTTCCCTCCTTTCCTGTTTGTGGGAGCGGGTCTCCCAGGTTGTCCGCAAGGTATTAAGACTAGCCAGCCTGCGGTCTATCCCTGTGCCCATGTCGTTCGTAAGTTCGCTGCTCTTGCTGCTGTCTTTGGCAACGTGTCCTGGGTTGACATTCGGGCACGGGGTTTTTGGCATTTGAACTGGGTCATAGCTGCACGCTACCTTGTGAACGTTCCTGGGCCTAGTCAGGCCTGTGTCGCTTTGGCTCGGCGGTTGCAGCCAGTTGTCTCGACTTCGGGTTGAGTGAGCAGCGACCGCCTCTCGCGTAAGTCCCTCTAATTTTCCTCTGTGGGTAGTAAGCTCCGGGGAGCCGACGGGGCTCCCCCAGTCGGCGTTTTTTTGTGTGTTTTGATGTCCAGCCTTAGAACTGAAGGGTGGATGGCTGGCACAGGGGTCTGGGGCTCCCTCTTCCCTGTCCCTGGGGAGCGGGGAAGCTGTGCAGACAGCAGCGCAGCGACGTGTAACGTCATGCTCATTTGCTCGTTTCTTTTTGGGGAGTTCTATCCACTTGTTCAGCTTTTTGTAGCAATTTTCACCAGAATAGTGGTTTGTTTTGGGATGCTTACCTTTCTGGGTGCCTGACCCGGTCGATGGCAGACATAGTATGCTTCCAACCACACAAGGTTTTCTATAGGCCATTGCTCCCCATGCCTCTCTGAGGGGGGCCAGGTTCTGGCTCGTGGTCACCGGTAGGCCCACAGAACTCCATACACATGACTGATGCCAAAGTCTGACATTAGCACATCAGCCTGGATAGCTCTGGGGAGCCGATAGGCTCTTCCCAGAAAATGGCGTTTCATTACATTCAAAGCTGGTTTTTTAGTGATAAATTTTCCAAGGACATCACTCCTTTTCACAGCTACTTTACACACCTGATAAAAAATTTACAGTTTAATTACAGGTAGTAATTTTCAAAAATGTTTGGCGTATTAAATTTTTCTCACTTTGAAAGCATCATGAAAAGGAGAAGTAACTGATCTGTACTGTGAGTTGAAGTCTGGTCTTAAAAAGATGCTAAGCTGGATTTCATTTTTAATTGCAATAAATTTAGATTTCTGTTAATTGTCCCTATGTTCTCTCATACACATTTCTGAATCTACCTGTTCTGCTACTCTCCAAAGTTTTAACATTACAGTATTGTGGTTTTGGAAATGAATACTGAAGTCAGGCAGGAGTGAATGCCCCAGCAAAACCAGGAACTTTTCATAGTCCTTGCAGAGTAATATAAGATTCTGAAGAGTCGCTGGAAATTAATTTAACTCGGCCAAGGATAACTTTAAAAGGTCTGTGAAACGTACTCAGATGCCTGCAGGTAGCAGCATGTCCCCAACCTTCACACGCCACCACCACACATCCGGACTTTGGTGGTTTGACTAACGATCACGAAAGTGATTGCCATCCTGATAGCTTGGAGGCTTGCAATTAACTAGTGCTGCATTATTGGATTTGTTAGTGTCCCTTGTTCTTTTCCAGCCTGTTTCTCAGGCTTTATAGTACTTGTTAAATACTGGTGGTGACACGATGTGATGCTCGGTGTTTAGTTCCTCATCAGTGTTGACAGGTTTTTTCTTGCTTCGCTAAGCCTGGTGTCTTTATTGCTTATTGCCGAGTCAGCGGGTCTGATCACCTGACCAGCCTTAGATAGGCTATTATCAATTTTGCTATCAAATAGGTTAGGATTTACCTGGATTTGGGTTTCTTCCTTTTCCTCACTCAGTGGATGGGACATGGAGCAAGGGTTACCTGGAGTTGAGTTGTCTGAGCCCAGAACATTGGCATTGTCTGCAGATAGTCAGAAATGGTAATGGCTTCATGTACCTGAATTCCATTCCATTTCCACTGCAACTCATAATCATACTCCCAATACTACTAAATAGTACAGTAATGAGAATTCTGGGAGCTCCCAGACACTGTTAGCTGAATGTTGTTACAGGATGAGAAATATTCTTAAGGTAACCCTTATTCCTAATGACTTGTCAAGAGCCATTTGGAGCTTTCAATGGTGCTGGCACACACTAGCCAGTCTTGTAATTTATTCCAACTATGTACCACTGTTTGGAAAGGAGAATTTTTGTATGTTTTTATGAGATTTGTTTTACAATTACCAGCAGTGTCCTTTTGCTTTTGATATTGCACAGTTCAAACTTTTCTTATAAACTTTGTTTTTTCCTTTATAATTTAAGTATGTGGTGGTCATACCATCCTATTTCTCTTCTTTTCTTGTTTTCGTACATTTAGTGGAAACTTTTCCTAAAAGCTCTTATATTTTGTGTGGGAGCACACTAGTAGCATGTCTTTGTATTTTATATTTTATCTTTTCTGGCGGGAGCCCCTTCGGCTCCCTGGAGCTATCCAGGTTGATATTGCTATATTAGACTTTGGCATCAGTCATGTGTATGGAGTTCTTTAGACCTACCGGGAACCACAAGCCAGAACCTGGCCCCCCCCCCCTCCCCTCAGAAAGGAACAAGGAGCAATGGCCTATAGAAATCCCTGTGTGGTTGGAAGCGTTCTGTGTCTGCCATCGACCATGTAGGAACCCAGAAAGGTAAGCGCCCCAAAACAAACCCGTGTTCTGGTAAAAAAAATTGCTACTGAAAGCCGAAATAGTGGACTGAACTCTCCCCCAAAAAATGAGCAAACGAGCATGACGTCACCACGTTGCCGCACCGCCGTCTGTGCAGCTCCCCCCTCCCCGGGAAGGGGAAGCCCCAGAAACCTCGTGCCGGCTACCCAAAGCCTCGGTTCTGAGGTTGATGTGCTAGGCTGAGGTCGTGCGCTCTGACTCCTGATTGTCACCAGCTCGGTGCCTTGTGGTGTGGGGGCTGTTCCTTGGGAACAGGTTTGATAGGTTTGTTCGTTTGCAGCCATCTCCTTGTCTGGCAAAGAATGAGACTGCTGCTTTCCAGAGAGGTCCTTGGGGTGTTGATGCTAGGTTGGTCAGGCCGGGGGTGCATCATGTGTTGTGTCCGGTTGCGGCTCTCCACTGTTATTTGTGTGCCACGGCCTTTGTGTCTGGGGACGCACTTTGGGTTGATCCAGTTTCCCTTCCCTGTTCCAGGGTTTGGGTCTCCCAGGTCGTCCACAGGGTTATTCGATCTAGCCAGCCTGCGGTCTATCCCCGTGCCCATGACGTTCGTAAGTTTGCTGCTCTGGCTGCCGTCTTCGGTAACATGTCTTGGGCTGACATTTGGGCGCAGGGTTTTTGGCGGTCGAACAGGGTCCTGGCTGCTCGCTACCTGGTCAATGTTTCGAGGTCTAGTCGGGCCTGTGTCACTTTGGGTCGGCGGTTGCAGCCAGTTGTCTCGACTTCTCGTTGAGGGGCAAGTGACGACCGCCTCTCGGGTAAGTCCCTCTTGTTTTCATCTTTTGATAAGTAGCTCCGGGAAGCCAAAGGGGTTTCCTCCAGAAAATCAGAGTTGAATGTAATGAAACGCCATTTTCTGGGTGAGACCTCTGGAGGCTCCCCGGCATCCCTCCCTCCCTCCGGTCGGCGTTTTTTTGTGTATTTTGACATCCAGGCTTTGAACTAGATATGTGGGGCACTTGTGTGAGGAGTCTGGGGCTCCCTCTTCCCCCACCCAGGGAGGGGGAGTTGCGCAGATGGCAGTGCGGCAACGTGGTGACATCATGCTTGTGTGCTTGGTGACATCATGCTTGTTTGCTTGTTTTTCTTTGGGGAGTTCTGTCCACTCGTTTGACTTTTAGTAGTAGTTTCAACCAGAATACGGGTTTGTTTTGGGATGCTTACCTTTCTGGGTGTCTGACCCAGTTGATGGCAGACATAGAATGCTCCAAATCACATGTGCATTTCTATAGCCCATTGCTCCTCGTGTGTCTCTGAGGGGGCCAGGGTTCTGGCTCGTGGTCCCCGGTAGGCCTAAGAACTCCATTCACACTGATGCCAAAGTCTAATAGTTTCATATCAACCTGGATAAGCTCCGGGGAGCCTCCGGGTCTCACCAAGAAAATGATGTTTCATTACATTCAACGCTGTTTTTTTTTAAGTATGGATACTAAAGAGATGCTGCACATCCCATCTTAGATCATTCCATCTCAAGAACTTCATGAAGGAGTTTTTAAGCATGTCACTATCATATTAAATATTTAAATGCAGTTCTTAAATTGGCCGGTGTATCATAGGCTCCTCTGACTATGCCTTTGGTGTGGTCTACTGGTGACAGTTTAATATCATGAGCTGCTCATGAATCTTTTTCTTTGATTTTTTTTTTTTTATATGTTGTCACATAATTTGTATGCTGAAGGAGAACAGCTCTCACTTATCCTACACTCCCTGCCAAGTCACTTGGACTGGAGAGTAGAGCGACGGCCTCGCTTCATGCAGGTCAGCGTTCAATCCCTGACCATCCAAGTGGGTGGGCACCATTACTTTCCTTTGTCCTATCCTAAATCCTTATCCTCATATCCCTTCCAAGTGCCATATAGTCATAATGGCTTGGAGCTTTCTACTGATAGTTTCTTTCCCCCTCCTTTCTCCTGATTATTAGTGTACATTATTCCACACTCCATAATGTAATATTTGTCTGCAATAAATTCCATTTGGTTAAGTCACACACATTTAGTGTATGTATAAATATTTAGTGATTTCTAGAATGCGGGTTGAGGGTGGCATAAGGAAGATGATATATCCTTTATTCCTTTGATAGACAAAACTTGAAATCTTAAATCTGAAGTGCTCTTGGTTTCAACATTTCTGGGAAACCCTAACATAACATTTTAATTCTTTATTCTTTAACCCTTAAGCTGCTAAGGGGTCCTGAGGAGATTTACACCCCTGTGCGCAAGAAAAAAATAATCTAAAATATTTCTTCGTCTTCTCAAAATGTTAATTTGTGTTCCCTGAGCACGGGGAAAAAAGAAAATCGTAGGTGACATATTTTAGGCACAATAGGCCGAGGAAGTCTGGCAAAATGTGGGCATTGACAGAGCAGTTGTCAGAGGCGGTCAGCGTCACCCGAGCTGTCAGGTGGGAGTTGCCACAAAGATATTATTACCTAATTATTTCAATGTCTCTGATTTTTTTTCTTAGTTTTTTTTGCAGTAATATTATTCAATAGTGTGTATTGTTATGGATTTATATAATAAAATGTGTGAATCATCATTATACTCAAAAGTATGGTGTTCATATTAATAATTCAATTATTATGTTCATAAAACAATAAACAAATAGTTTTGCTGTTATTACACTATATACACACACATTATATATAAGTATCTACATGTTTTGTTCACCACAACTGTACAACTAAGCTGATATAGTTAGTTCAGGCACTAAGAGACGTCGCTACAACACACACAGTCAGCTAGCGGCTGCCTCCCTCACTCATTCAAGATCAGGCGCACTAAAATTTCTTCCCCCAACAATACGGTTTGTAGTGTTATTACACTATACAGGTGTATACACACATTATATATAAGTATCTACATGTTGTATGCACCGTAACTGTACATCTAAGCTTGTAGAGTGCCTAAAGAGCATATTGGGCACCCTCTACCTAGCTAGACAAGTCATGCTGACGATGCCACCTCTGTCACCGAAATGCCTCCTCCCAACATAATCCTTTTGCTGTTATTACACTAATACACACATTATATATAAGAATCTACATTTGTGTTCACCATAGAGAACCACTGACCTGGTATGGAACCACTGAGAACCACTGTTAACATAAATATGTAAATGCTATTATTTAGCAGTGATAGTATTACAGATGACCCCTGACTGTGATAAAAATAACCAGGATTGTGATAATAGAAGAATTGTTGTGATAATTAGCACGGTGTGGGAGGAGTGATGCTGAGGGAGGGAGATAGCGTCGTTTACTGACTGTGTGGCCACCTGTTATTGTCTGCATGCCAGCTCTGAGGTATGGTGGGTTCATTCAGCAGAACCACTGAGCTGGTATGGTGAATGCAGACAATAACAGGTGGCCACACAGTCAGTAAACGACGCTATCTCCCTCCCTCAGCATTACTCCTCCCACACAGCTCTAATTATCACAACAATTCTTCTATTATCACAATCCTGGTCATTTTTATCACAGGGGTCATCTGTAGTACTGTCATTGCTAAATAATAGCAGTTACATATTTATGTTGACATTTTTAGGCGATGCTGTGGTCACAAGCTGAATAGCAATGCTGTTAGCTAATACTGCTTGCGCCAGCCTTGGTTGCTTCCATAGTACTGTGGCTCTCGCACTGGAGAATATTGCCCACGATTTTTTTTAAACATAGCGTCTGTTTACAATAGCCCTGAGGAAGCTGATGTGAACCCCGTGTAGCCATGGGCCATTTGAATCATGCCTGGTACCCTATGACATAAATATACGCCATGCGCATGGTGGGATATGTTTCTCATGGCGTATATGTACACCATGTGCAGTTTAAGGGTTAACCCGTGATAATTAATAGTCTATTGTTTTAATGCACTATTTTCAGGCACTTAATGATTACCTTACATGAAGAGGAACGAGCTGGCCAGACCCTTCCCGAGTACCGTGAGAGAGTGATCATTGAGAGTGAGACTGCTAGCTTGGCCTCTGACCTCCAGCCTCTACCTTATGACTCGGCAACGGAAGATTTTGCCGATGCAGAGCAAACATTGAAACTTGGGGCATGTGTTGAAAGTCAAGATGTGTTTGTTGGTAGAGACGTAGATAGGCATGTGGGTCCAATGAAAGTTACTCAGAATATGGACAATAAAAAATTTGATGTTGCTATTCACGTAAGACAATTTAAAGAATATTTGGAAGGAGAACCAATGGAAGGAGTTCATCAAATTGAAACAAAAACTCTCAGTGCACAGTCTAGTAAAACTGAAATATTGTTAGAACCTAATGATGTAGATATGACAGATGAAACCAGTGACGTAGTGAAGTCTGTTCAAGAAACAAGTGATCTGATTATTGAAAATGTAACCGAAAACAAAAATACTGTGAATGCTGCAACAGGTCAATCAGAGGCAGTTGAGATGGATCTTCTCCCAGAAAATGGCTCCAAAGCAGGCAACTATAAACGTAAACATAATATGACACCCGAAGGAGTCCACAGACAGATGTTAAAATCTCCCAAGGGTGACGTAACATCAGACATTGACAATAGCTCAGACAGTGGTATTAGTGGTGACTTGGCTGAAGATATTGAGTTGCATATAAGCAGTCCCAATCCAAACAGCCCCTGCCCGAAGATGTTTGCAAGCAACAGAGGTTTAACAATTGAGGAAGTGGTAACAGAAACTTGTAACAATGAGGATTCTGAAAATGAATATTTTGTTAGTCTGGTTCACAAAGTATTTGGTGGAAAGTTAGCAACTTGTATCAAGTGTCTACAGTGTAAAACTGAATCTATACACAAAGATGTCTTCACAGATATTCACTTAGCATTCCAAGATTCAGACCGTTTTAACGCTGATGGTGCTCCAAGACGAAATCCAGATAGACTGTGCAAGCAAAAGCATCAAGAAAACCCAACTGATCTGAGCATAGAGGACTTGATAACCAGTTACCTTACCTCGGAGAGATTAACTGGAGAGAATCAGTATGAATGTGAGAGGTGTGGGGGAAAGCAGGATGCAGAACGCTCCATTCAGATACTCGAGCCGCCAGAACACCTGATTCTTACTCAACTACGGTTTTACTACGACACTGCCAGAGGCCAACGACAAAAAGTATTTACCAATGTGGAATTTGGAGAAGAACTTCTGTTGCCAATAAGGTACTCCACACAGGGCTTGCTGCGTGATAATTTATCCATTGGGTGTGAAGAAGGATCTGACAGAGATGTTGTGGCTGTAACTCTGGTGTCTCCAAGTGGGGAGGAGAGCAAGAGGCCCACTGAAGAATTTTCAGAGGCCACTAGTGGACATTGTAGCAACTTGTCTAGTAGGCATAATTCACAGGTTAGTTGCAGCATACCAGTTAGAACAAATCCAGAGTCAAGTTCTAGCACTTCTAGTGAAAGCAATTCATATTGTTGTGACAATACAGCATGTAAAAATAATTCTCAAGTAAGTTCTAGTGTAAATAATGCGAATAGTGAAAAAGCCTCTTGTAGTTCTTATAACAAAAATTGTTCACAGTCAAGTGGGAGTGGAGAAGAGGTTAGCAGCAGCACTTCAGAGGCAGCCTGCAGCAATGTTGAGGGTGGCTGTAGTGGTTCCCAAGACATGTGCAGCTCTCCACATCCAAAACATTCTTATGAGTCTCAGGCAAGCTGTAGTTATATGCAGATTGTCAGCAGCAGTGACCAGGCATGTTGTAGCACTTCTCAGGAGCATTTTTCAATTTCAGAGAAAGAGGAAAACATTTCGGAGGCTTGCACAAGCACTCAGAATATGAATTGTAGCTCACAAGCCACTTCCAGCACTCATGAAGGTGCCAGCAGAAACTCGCATGACACTAACAAATGGTATAGTTCATGGTCTAGAGACATTTGTGATGATGAAAACAGTTCACATAAAATTAGCAGCTCGTACAACAATTCACAGCCAAGCTGTAGTTACTCTGCAGATGTCATTTCTGAGGCTAGTTGCAGCTTCTCTAATAGCAGCTCAAGAAGCAGCTTTGTTCAGACTGTTGTAGATGATACACACTTGTCTGGTGATACCACTTTACAGCATACACATCAACTCTCCAGCCAGCCAAGTCCTCAACCAAGTTGTAGTTATGTGCCCAATACAAGTCTAGAGAAAGAAGTTCCTATAGAATATCCAGCCAGCTCAGGATCATCAGATTGTATGACCCCTAAAGATGACTGTGATGAAGAGCAAGAAGTGATGTATGCACGATACGCATTATATGGAGTGGTGGTGCACTCAGGTTTCTCGTCAGAAGGTGGACACTACTACTGCTATGCTCGCAACTCCTCAATTGCCTCCTTGCCAGAGTCGGCTAGAGAAAGGTTTGGCTTATATTTTTTGTAACTTCATAAAATACACAATTTAATCTTTAAATGTCATTTCCTGATCACTGAAGGGTAGTCTATTGCTTCTTTACTTACTCAATATATTTATTCACCCATTGCAGCAGATATTAAATTCATGTTTAGCTTCTTTGTCATAGAAACAGTCAAATAATTAGGTAAATACATTTTGGCCAAAATGACAGTCATGCATACTAAATTTCATTTTACAGCAGACACCCAGTTGGAGTTAATAAACTATGAATAGTATTATGGTTCATATGATTCCTGCATACAATATGGACACTGTACAGAAAGTATGCTATGTAGTACAAAGATGGGTAAAGTAATTTGTAAATAGGGTGGTTGATCTATGGAACAAATTACCAGGTAATATAATATGCATGGGATTATGTGATTGTTGTAAGCATAGGTTAGGCATACATATGAATGAGTTTGGACGGAGGTAAATAGGAGCTGCCTCGTATGGGCCAGTAGGAACTGCCTCGTATGGGCCAGTAGGAGCTGCCTCGTATGGGCCAGTAGGAGCTGCCTCGTATGGGCCAGTAGGAGCTGCCTCGTATGGGCCAGTAGGAGCTGCCTCGTATGGGCCAGTAGGAGCTGCCTCGTATGGGCCAGTAGGAGCTGCCTCGTATGGGCCAGTAGGAGCTGCCTCGTATGGGCCAGTAGGAGCTGCCTCGTATGGGCCAGTAGGAGCTGCCTCGTATGAGCCAGTAGGAGCTGCCTCGTATGGGCCAGTAAGAACTGTCTCGTATAGGCCAGTAGAAACTGCTTTGTATGAGCCAGTAGGAGCTGCCTCATATAGGTCAATAGGAGCTGCCATGTATGGGCCAATAGGAGCTGCCATGTATGGGCCAATAGGAGCTGCCATGTATGGGACAATAGGCCTTCTGCAGTTTCCTTAATTCTTATGATGATACAGTACTTATAAATTCTGATGTGGCTGTAACTTAGAGCCTTAACTAGAGTAATATTTTACCCTAATACAGTATGGATGCAACAAAAGTTTTTATTAATAATTTCTTAATCTTAAATCTTCACACTGATATGCTGTATATAATATGATTTATCCACAGATCCTTGGGCATCTATTACACTGTTGTGATGTAAAGAGTCGTTAGAATCTGTGAGGGAAGAAAAAAACATTTATGTACTGTATTTGAAAGTTTGAGATGCAGTTCTTTTCATGTATGACAACTAATGTAGTGAACAAACAGTACAAAATATGTGAAAGAGAAGGAGTGCAAGTGTGAGATTCGATATGCATCTTAGATGGTGCTGGTTTGTTTAAACATTGTCAAAATCTCCAAATAATTTTGTGTGTATGAATGTTAATGTTCACTATAAATGCACAGGATTTAGCAGTGCAGCTAAAAATATGTTTATTGCCTTTGGAGGATAACATAAAATTGTAATGTTTATTTTCTAGGTATGGGGCACTGGGTGGCTGGTACAACTTCAATGACGAGAGAGTGACCAACACCACCTTTTCTACCATATGCAACCTCACTAAAACATTCAGTCGGGACACTGCATACCAATTGTTTTACAAAAAGGTAAAATCATTTACCTCTTCTTCACCTGTTTTAGGAATATAAGGCACTTGCTGTACCACCTTGACTTGGCTACCTCCATGCACAAGTACTTTACAAAATGAGGAGTCACCCACTTATATAGGCTGGACCCACTGTTGCTTCTGGTAACTTTTGCTGGCAGTCTGGCTTATCTTCTTTTATCACTTAATTCAGTCTGGCTGGAGCCCTGCTAATTGGTGAAGATAGTGGCATCTGGACTTTATTTGGTGTGGGTTCTGGGAGTCCTCCTACTCCCGAAGCTGGCCTGGCATCAGGCTTGACCTGTGAGAGCTTGCTTCAACAGACTGTTGCTTGGAGTAGCCCACAGTCCCGCATGTCCACTACATCTCAGTTGGTCTAAAACTTCTTGCAGAAAACTGTCTAATATTTTGTCTTTAAGTCTACTCCTTCAGAATTTCTCTTTGATACTTGTTAACGTGACTTCTTTGTGCAGTAATATTAAAGTCGGTTTCATAATTGTCATGCACATGTCATGCTAGTTCCATGACTATTGTGGTTGGTACAGTAGGGTGACTATTGTGGTTGGTACAGTAGAGTGACTATTGTGGTTGGTACAGTAGAGTGACTATTGTGGTTGGTACAGTAGAGTGACTATTGTGGTTGGTACAGTAGAGTGACTATTGTGGTTGGTACAGTAGAGTGACTATTGTGGTTGGTACAGTAGAGTGACTATTGTGGTTGGTACAGTGGTATTGTGGTTGGTACAGTGTGACTATTTGTTGGTACAGTAGAGTGACTATTGTTGGTACAGTAGAGTGACTATTGTGGTTGGTACAGTAGAGTGACTATTATGGTTGGTACAGTAGAGTGACTATTGTGGTTGTCTGCTTAACCAGACACATTTTCACGTGTGATATTAACCTAGTGGTGAACTCCAAAGGCCAGAATGTTTTCAGTCAGTGGGTCCAAGTGCAGTATGCCAAAGATATGAAGGGACTCCAAAATACAGGTATCATTTGACTTCTCTATGCTGTATAATATTAGTTTCTTTGGCCATGAAACAGAAGATAATGGTTAAAAGCATTTTCTCGAAAGTCAACTGAGAATCTGAGGATTTAAATTCTTCACCATGGAAGTCAGCTCTCAATGCAAAATTTGAATCACAAGTATGTTTAGAGTGATTGTCCTAATAAAGAGGCTCTGTTGCTTTTAAGATCGGAGCTAACATAGAACAAAGTACTAAATATATGTCTGACACTAAGGTTCTTATGCTAACACAAGATGGTTGCAGCTTACATATTCTCATTTTTAACTTCATCAGTAGGACGAAAGCCACTGTTATACAAAAATACATACATTGCCTATTAAAAGACTGCATATAGTACACAGAGAGTAATAACATTATTGTGATGCTCAGTGAGCAAATCCGTAAGAGCCTTGATGAGGGTTCAAACCTATGTGCTACGAACCTAGTGCTTAGGTTTGAACCCTCATCACAGCTCCTACGGATCTGCTCACTGACTGCATATACAGGGTAGTATAATTCTCTGTGACATCATCAAGGATGTAAGCAATTTTTGTGAGGATATGATATTTTAATCTCTTTCCCATAACTCTTAAAACTTATAATTTTTGTTTATTCCATAGCTAAGTGATTGTCTAACTCCTGATGTTCCACTGATGGAAGACTTTAAATCTCTGCGTTTTGACCTGCGAGAAGCTGTCGAGAGTGATAACCTCCAGTATCGCAGCGAGCAGGATCGCGAAGCTCAAAGACGGAGGTATCAGGTGTCGAGCGGGACGAACTTCTCCCATGACTCGGATCATGATGATACTCCTCCTCCTGGTGGTTGTGGGGTTGGTCCAGGGGGAGGAGGGTTTAACACCCCCTCCAGAGTTGTCTTTTGAGGACTGCCATGTAATCTTTGGCAGCAAACAGCCATGGTATGGAATTAAACATGTTGAACATGGCTAGGTTATATATGAAGGAACAAAGTGGAGTGTCAAGAGCTGTTATGTTAAGTGGCACATATTAAGTCCAATTTGTTTTAGAATAGGACTTGTGTAATGGAAAAACAGCCCCAGCATCTGGGAGCTTAGGATGATATACTTCATTGAACCTTCATATAATACTGAAGAAATTTTAAGTCTCTATAGGTGCAATTTGTCATGGTACTGTACGTTATTATTTTTGGGAGATGCGTAGCACAGCAGATTGAAGAGGCACTCGTCATAATTAATGCTTATCAGTCCCCATTGTAGACATAACAAATGAACATTGTGTAATTATGATGACTAATGTTAATTGAAGATTTGTTCCTCTTACTCTTAATTTTAAGCCTCAGTTGGTGGAGGTGCATTAAGCTGCAGACGATAAAAGCAGTGTTATGTTGTAGTGTGTTGGATGGTGACGTTATTTTGTCTACTTGGGAAGAGGTTTCAGTTTTCCTGCATGTACTTAATATTTATTGGAAACACAAGTTAAATTGTTGAATATTGATTCAGAATCTAAGGTATGTGCACTTGAACAATTATATTTACGTTAATGTCATGGCATTTAAAGTGCATGACGTTTACATGTAATATAGGAAAATTGAGGTATATTTTGTGTTATGTAGATTTATACGTATTGGTTGCACAGGTTCATATAATTACAATATAATATAATTGTAATGTAATTTTTTTCATCATCTCATAGGGGAAGGTTTTCTTGAATCTGCACAGTGAATTACAATGACACCTTTGCTTCATATAGATATGGTGTGTGTGGGGTGAAAATGAGCCAGAGAGAGAGAGAGAGTCAATACTTGTGAACACTGGAGTAGAGTTATCCGCATGGTGCGCCTGCCTTCTTTATTTAATTACAATGGGGGAATACCTGGCATTGCTCAGGGGAAGGACATCTCATCTTTAGTACGTACCATCATCTTCACTACTCACTATCTTCTTCACTGTAACCATCTTCCCTACACACTTCTACACAAACACTACACACCTTCCTTATTCTTCACCACCTAACTTGCCCATCACCGCCCTGATATGTTTGGCCAGACTAGCCCTAGGTGTCTGACCCCCAACAACCTCGAACACACACACACACACACACACACATTATATTATATTATATTATATTATATTATATTATATTATATTATATTATATTATATATATATATAATATATTATAATATATTATATATGGCAACAGTGAGGATCCACAAGGTCTTCCCTGAGTACTCTTTATTTTCTTCTCCGAGGCTATGGGTCCCTACACTTGCCCAGAGGTGGTACCCCTTTTAGGTTTGAAAGAAAATTATATATATATTAAGATCAGCTTGAACATTTCAGCTATATGATTATTTGAAGACACATACATATGAACATGTATGATTATTCAAATAAGGTCCTCATGGTTTTGGCCTATGTAACCTGGTAGCAGGATTTAGCAGCATTTTAGCACATTGTTGGGAGAGTGTGATTGGTGCATCTTGAGCGATATCTCTAAAAGTTTAAATTTTGTTGCACTGTACTAAAATTTCCACACGTGCCCTGATGCCTGAGAAGGATCCCAGTAGTCTGACTCAGTTGCATGCTGTCTAAATAAGTTTTTCACTAAGAGCCAATTTTTGGCTGTTCATGTTTACTGCAATAACTTTAAAATATTCAGTTAAAATTTGAAATGTATGCCTTAGAATCATGTAATATAGATTATAAATTTGCAGCATTCTGACCTCAATAGTCAATTGCATGTTTTTAGATTTGAATTGAAATAAGTTGATATTGCCCTTAATCAGTAGCCAACCCGTCCCCACACCAACTGCCTCATATTTGTTGGCTATAGATGCAAACATAGCAACTAGATGCTTTTATGAATTGCTAAAGCATTTGAAATGTATGATTTTTTAACTAATTAGAATCATCTGATAGACTAGGTGGGTTGGTGGAAGTTCATTGGCTTTGGTACAGTAGAAACACACACACACGGCTTTGGTACAGTAGAAACACACACACACACAGCTTTGGCACAGTAGAAACACACACACACACAGCTTTGGCACAGTAGAAACACACACACACACAGCTTTGGCACAGTAGAAACACACACACACACTGTATACTTGTCATATCAAGAGAATGGGTTGATATATCCTTGCAGAACTGCATCAAAATGTTTTAAGAAATTTACTTGTATAATTATGATTCATATTTATCTTACAACCTTTTGGCCACAGTGACACGTTTATAAAATTATATGTATAGAGGTATACAGTACATACACATATACATACCGATATAATTTAGGTGGTAGTGAGGCCTACAATTTAATCCTCCTGCCAGTTCACTGCAATTTGATCTTTCTCTTTCCACTTACTCTATCCACTACTATTACCATAACAACACACCTTCATTGCTACCATAATAAAACTAACCACAACACCAACAATAACCATTACTTTTAACATAATACTTCAAACACTACCACAATTGCTATGAACACTAAACAGCTACCATATTATCTACCACCATCCACAACATCCACTGCAAGAACCATAATTACCGCTATTACTACCACTTTGCGATTACCTTGCAATGATTTCGGGGCTCACCATCCCTGCAGCCCCATCCCCGACCAGGCCTCCTCCAACCACCACCCCATATTCATCCATTGTGCTTATTACACCAACTTGTAATACTCCACCCGATAATACTCATTCATTCCACACTCCAGAGTCCAACCACTTGGACTGGATAAGAAGCAAGTGATTGTTGTTGTTGCTAAAGATTCGCTACCTGGAACAAAGTTCCAAGCAGCACGGGCTATGGTGAGCCCGTAGGTAGCAAGTGATGGTATCGCTTCTTGCAGGTCGTCGTTTAATCCCTGACCATCCAAGTGGTTGGGCATCATTCCGTCCCTTCATCCTATCTCAAATCCTTATCATTGCTTCCAAGTGCTATATACACTATTTGTAATGGCTTAGCAATTTCTCCTGATAATTACCTTGCCTCTACAATCTGGTCTCAATACCCTGTAGTCATTTCATCCTGTCTGCCTACTTAACTACCTTGTTTGTATTGTGAAACATGCTGGCATGGGATACCTATATTTTATTGCTTGAATTCACTCTGTTCTGTTTATCATAAAACAAAAAATTCAGTGGTTTTAACACACACACACACACATACTACCTCCTTTTGTGGCCCATTCCAACAAAGCTCTAAAGAGGTTCAGTATGTTCTATACTACTTTTTCAATCTTGTGCCATCATTTCACAAGACTGCTGCTGATAATTGTGATGAGGTCATTTTCTTTGTGATTTTCTTAAGTCATCATAAAATGTTTTCACTCTAATCCCTTGAGCCTACATGCCCTTTATATACATCGGATGACACATTTCAGTGTCATTGGAACGTGAAAGTTGTTTCAAAATGTATCATCTGTACTCCAACAGTAAACATTCTGATTACGCTAAAATGCATCATCCTATGCAGGTCAGGAGGCCTGGTCGAGGACCGGGCCGTGGGGACGTTGAGCCCCGAAATCATCACAAGGTTTCCGCAAAGTAAAGTAACTTATTGCCAAATTTTCAGTTTTCATTAACTGAGCTATTCTGTTTGCATCGGCCAGTCTGAAAATTTATGAAAATTGCTGTTATGTATTATGTAGGCAGAACATATTGAGGGCATGAGTGGACTAACTAGAGAGCTTCCTGCTTGCCCATGAGACCTCACATAACATGAACATTTGTACAGTATATTCAGTGCTGTTGCACCTTATCTATTATAATATATATTTTTTATGTATCTATACTTTAGAGAATTAATTTGTAAACATTTTGACACCAAATTTGTAATCATAATGCAAGTAATAGAAAACATAAAATTATTGTAAGCATTTTTGTGCATTACTGAGAGGGGCCCCAAAACGTTACTGGTCGGGAGAGACCGAACTGCCAAGGATTAAATGCCATCATCATTTTAAGCTCCATTTGTTCATTAATCTAAATCCTTTATAAGGGGTTTTATTTTTATTTTGTTTTCCCATTTTGCATCATTTGTAAATTATTCAGGTTGTAACTCACCCTCTGGCAAGCCATTCAGATAAAGTGTGAACATATTGGAGCTAGTACTGATCCTAGTGAAACCCACACTAGTGATTGCTCTATTTGTGTGACACTTGTAAATGTTGTTTGCCTCTTCTTCTGTTAGTAGCTGCATGTTCTGTCCAACTTAAGCTGTCCATGTCTTTCATGAGTTTTTGTATTAGGTTTCTTCTTTATATTTATCCTTGATGTAGTTTTTCATAACTACTAACAGCTATCATTGTCTTTTCCCCCTATCAGTCTCTTCATTAATGTGTATGTGTTTGTGTGTGAGAGAAAATGCTCACTTGCCTTGAGTGCCGTTTGAATTTCATCTTGACATTCTGCCACCCCATTACTGTCTCACCAGTTGACCTATTGTGCCATGAAACACACACCTTTGGGCTAAAGTATTTCAGTCCAGCTGTCTACACCATTTGATGGAGGATTTCTTTGGGAATAAATTTAACTCTTGTCAAATGATAAAGGTAATAAGACCTGATAATTTTGTTACTTGATTGCTCTAAATGTGCTTTCATATGTACAACTGTAATGTATATAACTCAGAACATTCAAGTTTAAAAACATTTGGCCATCATAGTCTCTTAAAAGCTAAATGAGTTCAATCATAGAACATCATGCATCGTGTGGTTGATATTTTTGCTAAAGAAATGCCTTTAAAAGCGCCACATTATTTTTAGGCTAATATTTCCCTATTGGTTCAGCTGATGTTTTCAATGACAGGATGTTGCTGAGCAATGAATATAAATATTACTTGAGGTTGGTGTATATGTTTACATACTATATATTATAAGAAATGGCCAAAGTTAAAAAAGTCTAGCTCTCATAGCTTCTCACAAAAATGATGTTTCAATTCAGTTTCAAGATATTATTTATGGAGTTGTCTGTGCTGTTGACTCAAAATGCCCCAGTACAAGGGTTCTTGGCTGTTTTGGTGTCTGATATTGGAAATTCCCTGTCAACACTTGCATTGCACAGCCATAATGTTGCTGGATAACCTTATGCTCGATGTTACCTCTAAATTCTCAGTAACCTTCATAACATTTTCTTTTGAGATTATTTGTGAGCAGAAAAGATATCTGCCAATAAGAGTAGTCTAGTTGAATTATATAAGATAAAGAAATTGAAAAAATAGAAAAAGAGTTGATCATTACTTAGGACTGAGGAGGCTGGCAGATGAGCTTGGTGATAACACAGCCTTTTTATGGCAAAACTACCAGGGAAGAGTTCTGGTGGCAAAGATTGAGAGAGAAAATCTCAGTGCTTAAATTTCTACAAGTTTGATAAGGAGTTTACAATTACAGTACTGTACTGTACTGTACTGTACTTTAGTTTGCCTGGATAAGGAAGATCTTCAGTAAGGTACCTTACCTTGAGGTGTTTCCGGGGCTTTAGCGTCCCTGTGGCCCAGTCGTCGACCAGGCCTCCTGGTTGCTGGACTGGTTGACCAGTCTACTTACAACCTGAACTACTTACAGGTAAGTAACAATTACAGTTTTTATCACATTTGTATTACTATTACTGGGTCTCAGTAGTACAGTTGGGATCGTTCTTGACTCAGATGGGAATCCTGGGTGCACCAGAAATAGTTGGGCATGTTTCCTTTCACCTAATGCCTCTCTTCACCTTGCAGTAAATAAGGTACCCAAGAATTAGGCAACTGTTATGGGGTTGCATTCTGGGGAAGGTCAGTGGTTCAAACTTAGGAGGACCTTGATAAAAGATTTGATAAAAGATACATACATTTACAGGCTGCCTGTCCCCAGCAAAATGAATTACTGAATTAAAATTTTTGTTTTATATATATACTGTATGCCTAAGTATGCTGAAATATGTATTTTATCATTTGTTATAGGAAAACTTTAAATAATTTGGTGGTTAACAAAAAAAGATAAAATTCTTAAAAAAAAAATGTGGAATTTACAAAAATTCAGAATAGATTTTGTATGAATTTGTATGGATTTTTGAGCTTGCAATGAATATTTGTTTGTATTCACCTCGAATTGCTTGCAGGATGAGGCATTAGCTCCTTGTTCCTGCTTCTCCAACCACCTGGTCAA